ACCCCCCCCCCCCCCACAACCAAGGGCAAGTACTAACCCCCGTGCCGTAGTCACATCCTGATCACAACCTCCGCAAAGCCCAGCCGCATGTCGGAACAACTCGCCGCCGCCTCCCCGGACTGGTCTCTTACCGAAGAGGAGTGCCAGGATATCGAAAAGGCGGGAGCGAAGCCCGAGGAACATTTTAGGGCGTTTTGGAAGGAAGAGATGGAGGGGAGGTATGTACATCGGATGTGGGGGGAGTATGCGTGAGCTGACGTGTGGTGTGTCTATAGCGGAAAGTGAGCAGCAAATTGCGATATCCTGTGGAGTTGGGCCCGAGCCTGGTGTCAGAGGGATCTCTTGGTGTTTTTTTTATCTTTGCTTGAGCTCATAATGGACCCCTAACAATTCAAATCCACACTCGGTGACAGCTGCATGGTCAATGAACATAGGCACGGGTCACAGCATCGATTCGACCAACACTCAACCGTATCAACAACGTGGCCATTCACAATCGTACGATGTTACGCCAAACGGGCTCGACTTGGAATTGTGTGATACATCCCATGGTGAGACACAGTCATGACGTTACGTCAAGGGAGACCGTGAGAAACCATGCTAGAGTTAGGGTTAAAACTCCCGGATGACAGGTGAGGATGTAAATCGTACGACTGTCTTAAGACGCGTTCGTGGACGGATCTTCCTGAACACTCATCGCAGATTATCGTTTCCCCACGCCGCTCATCTCGCTGACCCCGACGTTGATGAACAACATACGTAAACCCATTCCAAGGTCCCCTGCCTCTTCGTTTGAACACCTTTTTTCACTTCTTCTTCCCATCTCCGGAAGAACTCGCCCTCACTCATCCCTTCAGTCAATCTAAACGCAACACCATGGGTACTCCACCTCGCTCCCCACCACCTCCTCAGGATCCATAATACCAATGACGGGATAATCAAGATAAACATCAACGCTTTGATCCACTTGTTCGCCAGTGTTCGATTGAGGCGGCCAGGAGGACGGACGATAACATCATCTCCACGAGTTTCGAGGGTGATGTCGATGAACTCACGGTAATACGTGGACCGGATTGCTGCCGTGAAAGCACGAGTCAGGGTGGGAAAGGACCATCCTGTCGCATGCTTCGTGAAGTGGAAAGAACGGAGAGGATGCGTGCTGCTCGCGTACTCCGAGCAAGCCTCCATTAAAGATACCGGACCCATGCCATCAATCTCGTCATACGCAGGTCGACGCAGAACGAAAGCTTTCGTCTTGTTAAGGAAGCGGCCAATGATACCCACCCCTCGTCGAGCCTCTGATTGGGTGCAGACATGTGCAGTCCCGCGATACGTGGCAAACTCGTCCCTCCACGCAAACATTCTCCCATGTCCAGACTTCAGTAGATGACTCAAAGGAATGACCATGTCAAAATCAATGACTGTACGCGTATTGCTCGGCATGTTGGACGATCCATTCTGATCCTCCCCAGGTCTGATGTAATCATTTGTTACGTTCTCTGTGTGCCATCCTTTAATCCGTAAGCTTGCTTGAGGTGGTATCTGTGCTTGTTCCCATACGAAGTTATGCAATGCTAGCGGTGATGAATTGAGGATCGGTGCATGTGTAGAAACGTTTCCATCACGATCAGTTCGCACCAAAGACACAAGCTCATCAGTCTCAGCTGAAGCCTGATATGCCGGAAGATGTGAAGGTGGCAGAGCATCGTCATGGTCAAAAAACATGTTTTCCTCGCCCGCAACTGGTCCTTGTAGTCTCACCTCCGGCTCCTCGGGTGCCTTCACCTTCGATCCTGCTCCTTCCTCGGCGACGTCATAGTAGTCCGGTAACGCCTCCTCGAAGTCCGGCCGACCCCGATCTGGTGGGTATTGTGCGACGAATGTTTTCTTCGGCTTCACTGCTGGGGGCGATGACATCGCAGTCGTGGTATCCTACGGTATCGGTATGTTCGCTGACGTTCTTGGCTGAGATGATGTCGGCGATCCGGAGAGACCTAGGGGTTAAGGTTGCGGCTTATCCGCTGCAGGTGCATTAGAGGTGGTCATACATAAGAGAGGTAGTTGAAAGAGCTTGTTTTTCAAGTAATCTTTTCGTTATTCTAAGGGGTATCGATTGACTATAACAACGCCTAAACACCAGCAAGACGAATCACCACGCTGAGCCTCCAGGGCTTCAGCATCCCTCCTCGCGTTCAAGCTTCGTCACTATCTCAAAGGGCAACCCCAGTCAAGGTAACCTGGGTCGGTGGCAAAGTACTCGCTCCCTGGACATACTCCGGGCTCTTCTGCAACGCCGCCAAACTATTCTCCCCAACAACATAGGTCTTCCCATCCCCACTTCCCGCCTTGTTGTACACAAACGTTCCAAAGATCAACGTCTGGTTCAGCGATGTCGTAAAGGTCAATCCATTCTGCTCATCGATGTTCCAGCCACCGTAGAGACAGGGTGCTGAGCGGGGACATTTGACGACACCGTTGGTGATGGGTGCCGAAAAGATGAAGTAAAAGCCTTTACCACCTTCAGCTGATGCTGCACCGGGCAGGTTGCGCTGGAGAGCCAGGACGCTAGAGCCGGTGTAGATATCGTAGAGACCCTGGCCTGTTGCTCCGGAGGCACGAGGAGCAAGCGTGAGACTAGCAGCTTTGCCAGACTCAGCCGTCACATTGTACGCACCACCAAAGAGGCTGAAGCTGATTGATGTTCCATCACTGACAGAAAGCTTCATGGCCATTGTTGCAAGAGGTGCGGAGGAGGAGACAGCGGACGAGGGCGCGTATGAAGATGCTGCCGAGGCGGAAGATACCGCAGAGGAAGTAGCGGATGAGGAGGCATACGAAGAAGCAACTGAAGCCGAAGAAAGTGCAGACACAAGGACGGAAGTGGCGGACGAAATGATCGTGCTGCTTGTAGCTTCGTCACTAAGTGAAGTTTCGACGTAACGTACATCCGCTCCAGGCGTAGGCGTCGTCGTCGCTACATTCTCGGTGGAAGAAGCAACCACGCCAGAAGAGATCATGGACACGCTGCTGCTCTCTATAGGAATAGACGATGCGATCGGAGACGCACTTTCGACATCGGATACTGCTGTTAAAGACACGCCATCGCTTGTAGACTGTGTAGCCGAGAAGACGGCCGAAGACGTCTCGCTCGAGGCAGTCTCACTAGTAGAGGATGCAGTCTCACTAGTAGAGGATGCAACGAAAAAGCTAGAGCTGACATCCGTCAAGGAACAGGAAGTTGATTCAGCGCTCGTAGTCTCCTCCTCCGTTGCACTCTCAACAGCACTGGCCGAAGCCGAAGTCACGCTCGACTCCGCAGCCGTCAAAGTGGCCTGAGGGATTTCCGTCGATGAAGAACTCGAAGCGTCCGGAACAGTAGTCTCCGAGAAAGTCAACTCCGAGGTCGTGAATACCTCAGACAATGAGCTTGAACTAACGTCCGTGAACGAAGCAGAAGTGGCCTCCGTACTCGTAACATCATCCGTCGTTGAGCTCTCTGTACTAGTTCCGGCCAAAACCGCACTGGATTCCGCTTCCGATGAACTGGGCTCGCCGACCTCGGAAGTACTAGTCGTCTCAGTCGCAGACTTCGAAATCGTGTGAGACGCAACAATCGGGGAAGAAGAAATCTCAGTCACAGTCGTAGAACTCAACCCAGCACCGTCGACGCTCGAAGTAGTGTTCAAACCAACCAAAGTCGAGTACGGAGCAGCAGATGTGGAGGTGTTCACAGCCATCGTACTAGCAGCAACAGCGATCGCAGACGCCTGGACCGTAGACGCAGCCGCCTCGCTGGCCATGGTCCTTTCTTCCTCAACCACAGCCGATGTAGCTGCACTGCCTGAAACATCCGAGATAGACGAAGCCAAAGCCGCGACACTCGAACCATCCTCATCCCCAACCGAAGACGCATAAATCACAACAGGATTAGGACTCGGCACAACAACACCAACACTCCCAGTCTCAGTCAGACTACTACTGTTCGACACCTCGTCCGAGACAGCAACAGCGCTCGAAGTAGGCGCGTAGATCATCACCGGCACGGGCGTGGGCGCGGACTCGCTCGCCGACGATGACGAAGAAACAACCCCTGAAGACGTCAACGCCGAAGAAGCAGACGAAGCGGCGGTGGCAGTCCCATCCCCCAAATCAGTAACAATAACCAGATTCAACGGTCCCGGCGTGAACGACGCAGCCAACACCAAAGGTGATGAAGTAGGACTCGAGGTTTTGACGCTCACCACACTCGTACTCCCCACCGTCAGTGTCTCGGTCAGCGTCTCCACCACAACACTCTCCTCCTCCATCCTCGTCGTCGTTGAATACGCCACCGCTGTCTCAGTCACCAGTTTGACGAGGGTTTTGACAGTTTTCGTAACGGGCATCGTGATATCCTCCGTAACACCCTTAGTTACAGCTTTTTCGACAACACTCAACACCGTACTCGTCCCCGCCACCACCACGGTACTTCCCCTCTCCGTCACCGTACTCCCCACAACATCCGTAACCGTCCCCGTAACCGTCACGACCTTCGTTTCCGTGATGGGGACTGTGGAAGTCGCGTACGCCGTCCGCCAAATCTTCTTCGTATTCGTCGTAACGGACTTCACCGTGCTTGTGTAGGAAGTCGACGTGACGACGCTAGTCGAGGTCGCTGTCACGGTGGCGGTCTGGATGGGACGGGTGAGGATGAGTGAGGTGTGAATTGCGGGAGTGATGAGGCACGAACACGCTGCGCTCAATGCACTGGGCGCGTAAGTCGTGGTGCTACTTGTAGTGGGGGGGACTCTGCGTTTGTAGAGATCTTGCTCGAGGTCGTCGGTGGAGAGGTCGCGTTTGTAGAAGACGGTCTCGATGATGGGTTGGTTTTCCGTGGCGGTGATGGTTAGGGTCGTGCTGCTCCCAGTGGAATCTGTGATTGTGACGGGGATCGTCTCGGTGGTTAGGGTGCTTCGGGTCGATGTTGCGGTGAGGTAGACGCCGGAGTGGTGCGTCAACGTCGCAGTGGTGGTGGTGGGGAGGTATGAGGTCGTCGTGCGGGTGACTCTGGTGATCGTAGTACCGGAAACAACCTTCGTGATGATAGCCGGAATGACAGTCGTAACCATCTTCGTACTCGTAACATCCTTCTCAACCGTCTTTGTCGCCGTCGCAGTCCTCGTCCCAGTTTTGGTGATCGTGACCCACTTCGTACTCCACTGCGTCTTCTTCCCCTTCACGAGCTTCGTACTCGTCTTCACCGCCGTCTTCGTACTCGTTTTGGTCGTCAGACTCGTAACGACGATTGTCTTCGTCACGGGCGTAATGCTGGCATAGCTGGAGCAAAACGACGTCGCTCTACGGCTGGAGAGATGCGAGAGTGCGGATTTGACGGCTGGGTTGGTTGTTGCTGGACATGATGTCGCCGTCGCAGCAGAAACAGGCTCAGCTGCAGCTAGCTGTATCGTCAAGAGGAGGGCGAAGAAGGAGAAGATCAGCATCCTCGTCGCGTTAATGAGTTTCGAAGTTATCGCTGGTGCGACAGCAACGGTCTCTGCTCCGCTATATATCCATCGTCGTCTTCACGGTTAAGGGTCCTTTAACGAACGGTAGTCTCATAATCAAACATGTCAAAGCAATGGTCATGGTGTTCAGGTTCTTCTCTTTTGTGCTTTGTTCCTTTGATGTCGGTGTACGGCGGTTTCGGGGTGAGACATCGCGCTTGGTCTGTGCCGCCGCACCGAGCAAACAGGAGGGAGGGCATTGGGAGAAAATGTTACAAGAGAGAAGACAACTTGAATTTCGATGGTTAAGACGTCGCTCGGATCGCTTGTCATGACCGCAGTGGTGCTCGTGGCTCTGTGAACATGGAGAAGCACGAGAAAGACAAGTAGACAAAAGCAATTGCACGTACGCGTCAACGAATAAGCATCTGGTATTCCAAAAGAGTATCAAGGTCTTCAATATATCCTACACTACCCTTTTCCGGTGTTTCTCCAAAACTCCAGCTGCCGATCAACGGTGGGTATAAGCTTATACCGCATTGCTTCCCTAAGGTTCGCTCCCACGGTCGAACAACCTGTATCGCTGTTAGCTCAAACTCCATTATGAGAGGCAACTATGCAACAACACCTTCTTCACATTGCAGTCACCTTAAAGCTTCGCCACCACCTCCGTAGGCTTCTTATCCCCATCCTCACACACCTTGGCCACAACCTTCCCCCAAGTCTCCCTCGCACCAAGAGCTGTGTGCGTCCTGTGTCAGCAATCTCAAATAGCTATGTAGTACACAGCAGACACACACCTTTCAACGCCTTCCCAACGTTCTCCAGCCCCTCATAAACCTTCTCATTCGTAATAGGCTTAATCTTCCCCTCCCCAATCATCCCCAAAATGTCCCTCCAAACCCTCTCCACAGTCCCCGCTTCCACGCCTTTCTTCATGTACTCGCCCCAATGCACACCGACGAGACTGACGTTCTTCAGGAGTACTCGATTCATGGGGACTTGCTCGATTGCACCGGCGGCGAAACCGATGATGAGGAGACGCCCGTTCCAGGCTGTGCATTTGAGGGATTGGTTAATGAGGCCAACGGGGTCGAAGACGATATCGACCCCGCCTGGACGCAAGCGCAGGACTTCCTTCACCCAATCAGTGTCCGAATAGCTGATGACATGATCCGCTCCAAATCGTTTACATATCGCCAACTTCTCCGCCGTAGACTATAGCCGCCCCTCACACATCAGCACTCATCACGCACAAACTCTCGATCAACACGTTATGTACATACCGCAGTAGCAATAACCGTACACCCAACCGCCTTCGCAACCTGAATCGCAAACAACCCCACCCCACCCGCACCCGCATGCACCAAAACCCACTCCCCCCTCTTCGCTTCCGCACGGATCGTCAACGCTGCATAACTCGTCGGCGCAGTAATAAACAACCCCGCCGCGTCCGCAAATGACCAACCCTTCGGAACAGGAAGGAGTGTGGATGTTTTGACACAGCAGTACTCGGCATACGCACCCTGAACGTACCCAAACACCTTATCACCCGTTTTGAAAGAGGAAGAGCCGGCGCCGATCTCCTCGACGATCCCGGCGAATTCGGCACCTGCGATCCAGGGGAAGGGTGGTTGATTCTGGTATTTCCCGGCGATTTGGAGGAGGTCGAAGAAGTTTGTTGCGGCGGCGTGGATGCGGATGAGGGATTCGTCTGGTTTGGGGGTTGGGCGAGGGAGGGTGGTGGGGGTTAGGTCGAGGGGGCCCTAAGAAGTCATAGATCAGATAATTGCGGCCGAGGAGAGAGCGGAGGGGGGAGACACCTTGACGTATTCTGTCAATTGGATAGCCTTCATTTGGGATGCCATTGAACAATGACCGCCAGTTGCTGGGAGCGAATGTCGTCGGAGTGCGGGTTCGGAAGCGGAGTCCGATGCGGGGTGCAGCTGAACGTGCGAACGATTTGCGCAGCTGCATTTCGGAGAGAACGGAGGAGATCTTGGATACATCCAGATTTCTTCATGATCAGGTGCAAACAATTGTATGAGAAAACAAGGATCGTTTCCATAGCCTGCGAATTTCTGAGCATCGAGATTCAGGACGCGAAGGCTTAGGAGGTACAGTATGGTTCATATTCTGGGAATATGTAGCTCGATACTATACGATGGACGAAAAACAACCCTAAGAATTACCAGGGCTGACCTTGAACATCCGCCTAGCCTTCTCGAGCTCGCTGCTGTCACCTGACGCATGTCTAAGTCTGGCACGTTGATAGGACGGAACCGGACCGTGGTATATTTGACAGCCACCTCGCCATGCCCGCTAATGGGCCCTAGACCATCTGAATAACGAATCAGAGAGAAGCATCTACACCCTAAGCAAGAGGTTTCGTGTATTACCATGTTCTTTCATCTCACGTTTCAACCATTCACCAAACTCCCCTACGCTGAGGATGGCTCGCACCTCAAGATCCTCCGCTCTCGTTGGACCTTTGGGCATAATCAACCAAATATAGGTCAACCTTTGGAAGAGTTTCGTCTCGAACCACTGATTTACGATGCCATAACGCGACAGCTATATGACTATATAGGCAAACACGGTACGTATACCAGTACCTCTGAATCTTCCAGGTTTGACACCCCCTTCCCTGCAAACCTCGATAGTCCACTTCAAGCTTCAATTTGGCTCGAGCATGCTATCCTCAAAGAGGCGCGAAGCATCGAATACCAGGTATATTTGGCGTTCGAGAGCGATGTGGCATTTGGAAACGCGTGTGACTACTTCAAGGACACATGGGTGCAACACATTCGCGCGGAAGCCGAGCTGTTCCATCATGATATATGGCTGGATGTTTCGGTTCAGAATTGCCCGGTGGGTTGGGAGACGAGCTTCCCACCTGGCGTCTTCAAGTTCTTGTGGGGGAGTTTGGAGAAGGCGGGAATGACAGACCAGGTCAAAGAACCAGGGCATGCCCAGGCAAGCCCGAGTGACGCATCTCAATTGCATGAGGGCGAACTTCGGTTTGATGATTTTCATCAGTCTACTCAAGAGAACCCGGTTTGCGAGCAATTCGCGGATGACGTTCACGAGTTGCCGCAGACCACCGCCGTCGTCGATCTACCCAATGAACCTCTCATGCGCACGACGCCTGGGGATGCATACACAGAAGGTTACATCGACGAGGAAGAATACCAACCCATGGATCAACCCATGGAGCAATCCGCACTCATCTCGAACGACACCGAACATTCCATCCTCGACAGCCCCATCGAATCCAGCGCCTTCACATACTCCGAGGTCAGTGCATCCTCAGAGATCCCCCCTCATTCATCCGGCGTCAGCACTCCCAGATCTCCTTTGGGCGTCTACAAATTCCCCACGAACCTTGCACGCGAACGTCTCGACCGCGGCTTTCCCGAAACAGTCTGGCATCTCTCCACCGTTGTCACCGCCCTATCCGCCTCGATCTGGGACCTCGGTGACGAACTTCAACTTCGAGTTGCACCACACCTCAAAGTTCTTCGCCATATTCGTCACGAGCTCGTTGACCAATTGTCCAGATTCGCGAAGCTCGAGGAGGAGAGTGGAGGGATGACTGGAACAGAGAAAGCGTTTATGGCGTTAGTCGCGGAATTGATGAAGGTGATCGATGATATGAGGCTGAAGATTTGGGATCTGGATATGACGTGTCAGCTTGGCGTGAAGCCGTTGGTGCAAGGTCTGAGGATGGCCGCGACGGAGATGTTTGAGGCGGTCAACAGTGACTGATTGTCGTCTGACACTTTCCCCAAGACGATGTCCGTAGCCTTTTGATCAATCCTAGCAATCACGTATCTGACGAGAAAAACAAGAATAACGAAGGAGCACATAGCCGATGGTCCCACGGGTGGCCACGATGCAGGCGCGTCTGGAGTGCACCGGCACCGCCGGACAATGACATAACCCTTCATTTCGTAGATAACCTGTTTTGAACCTTGGCAGATGTACATAATAGATACAATTTACCGCCCACCTAACTATCCCCCGGAATAGGTATACGATGCACCCCTTCCTCTTCCTCTACGAGCTCCTCCAGCGCTTGATCCACTACCTCTTCTCGCCTCGTCCACCTCCCTCGGCAGAGTATGCTAGCTCTCATGACCAATTCCGTGTAGCGATCATCGGTGCAGGGTTGACCGGTGTCAGCTCGGCTGCTCATTGTATCGGACATGGCGTGGACGTAGTCTTATTCGAGAAGGGCGGAAAGGACAACGTGGGTGGGATTTGGACGAAAGTGAATGACACGAGTGGTCTACAGGTTGTTCACTCGGTGACGAATATTCTGGTAAACAGAGCTGATCCCTGAGTGAACAGATCAACTCCCTCATGTACCGGTTCCACCCTGACGTGACTTGGCACACCGGCTATCCAACTCGTGCCTCAATCGTTCGCGAGATCCGTCACATCTGGACAAAATACGATCTTCAGCCCAAGACTCGGTTCGATACCGATGTCAAGCGTGTCTCCCGTTCTCCGCGCAACCATAATAAGTGGATCATCAACAATAATCCGGATGAGGAGTTCGATGCGGTGATTGCGGCTATTGGGACGTGTGGGGAGCCCAAGATGGTTCATATGCCGGGGATGGAGAAGTATAAGGGGACACTTGTGCATTCGTCCGAGTTGACGAAGCGTGCCGTTGACGTCTATAGCAAGGAAGTAGCGGTCGTCGGCGGCGGTGCGAGTGCCGTCGAGGCACTCCAGTACTGTGTCGACAAGGGTTCTCGCGAAATCGACATCTTGGCTCGAGTATTTCTTCCTCCTAGATATCACATCCGTCAAATATCATACTGACTGAATGCTATAGAGCGACAAATGGATCATCCCCCGCCATCCCCTCATCGACGCCCTAATCTCCCTCCAACCCCTCGGCCACGAAACCATCTTCTCTCGCATCCCCGAATTCCTCCTCCGCACCTTCTTCTACCGCGATCTCAAATCCATCGCACCCCCGCCCGGCGGTAAAGGTCTCTTCTCCTCCACGCCAATGGTTAATTCCACTGCGCTGGAACTGATCAGACAGGGGAGGGCAAGGTGGTTGAGGGGTGATATCGTCGGTGTGGATGAAGATGGGATCCAGTTCGTTAGAAGGGCACAGGGAGTACCGAAGGGTGGGCCGGGACATCCGATGAAGGTTGAGTGTGATGCGATTATTATGGCTACCGGGTTTCATCGACCGAGTTTGCATTTCTTGCCTGAAGGGCTATTTACAGAGAAGTCTGTGATCTTCAGGTCCCTTTCCCAAGGATGAGGGATGCTAATATTATGAACAGGTACACCCCTCCCGCTTGGTTCCTCCAGACATGGTCTCCGAACGAGTGGAGTATTCTGGCCAACAATTGTACCTTCGTCGACGCCATTGGCACGGCTGGGCATTTCCATATTGGAATCTACACGCGCATTCTCATCATGGTTGTTCCTCCTTCAGTGATTCCGTGAACACAAGCTAATGACTTGTGGTGAATAGTACCTTAAAGATCCCCGAACCCGTCCTACCATCGCTCACATGCGCTCCTGGGTCGACCGCACCAACTGGTTCAAGAATGGTCCACCTGGCCAACTGGTGGACTTTATTTTACCTGGCATGAATGACAATTCAGGGAAGGAGAAGGGAGAGACAACGGGGAGTTCTGGATTTGGGTTCTTCACGTATGGAGAGTTGTTGGCGTGGTTTGTGGAGTTTATGTTGTTGAGTTGGACCAGGATTGGGTGGATTGGGTTTGTGCTGTTTGGCTGGGAGTAGTTATTAAGAATATATATCTTGCTTTGCTTCACGACATGATCGAACAAGCTTAAGGAGCGATTCCGTCACCGGCTGGCTTCGGCCCCAGAGGAGTGTTCCCACGCACTGATGAGCCTGGTGTGGCGCAGCACAGCTTGCCCTGAACCCCGCGACGCCGGCCAACTTTTTTGCGATAACGATAACTATAGAGGCAACCACCTCCTCCAGTTCAATACCCAATACAAAATGTCGAAACGTGCTGCCGACGATACGTCCGACCTTGCCCTCAAGAACGGCTCTCGCGCTGCCGGCGTCGATGCCGATGGTGATCAGGGTATGGGAGAGTTCGAGGACCAGTGGGAGGATGAGTTTGAGTCTGAGGAGGAATACGTCGAGGCTGGCGAGGATGGTATGGATGTCGATGATGAGGATGAGGAGGAGGAGCAGGTCGAGGAGACCGAGGTCTGGCTTCCTAATAAGAAGTTGGGGAAGGATGAGGTGTTGGAGGCGGATCAGAGTGTATACGAGATGCTGCATACCATGAACGTTACATGGCCAAGTCTGTCGTTCGACGTGCTGTGGGATAACCTCGGAGAGGAGCGAAGCACTTTCCCAGCTACCACCTACCTCGTCACCGGTACTCAAGCCGCAAAACCCTCCGACAACGAGATCACGATCATGAAGCTCTCCTCTCTCAACAAAACCCAAGTCCACGACGAAGAATCCGACGATGAAGACGAAGCCGAGGAAGGCGACCCAATCATCGAACATCGTTCCGTCAAAATCAACTCCGGCACCAACCGCATCCGCGCAACCCCCAAGACCTGGTCCCAAAACCACCTCGTCGCAACCATGATGGAATCTGGCGAAGTCCACATCTTCGACATCGAGCCCCAAGTTCAATCCTTCGATATCCCAGGCGCTCAACTCCACAGTGCCCAAGCCCCCCTCCACACCATCAAATCCCACGGCAGGACCGAGGGCTTCGCAGTGGATTGGCACCCCACCCAACCTCGCCTCCTCACAGGCGACTGCGCCGGAAAAATTTACCTCACCTCCCGCAACGACGCCGGACAATGGTCAACCACGGGTCCATTCACCGGCCACACCGCGTCCGTCGAAGACGTCCAATGGTCCCCCTCCGAACCCACGGTCTTCGCATCCTGCGCTTCAGACGGCACCCTCAAAATCTTCGACACCCGTTCCAAAACCAAGAAACCCGCGCTCTCGATCAATGCACACCCCAACACGGACGTCAACGTCCTCACGTGGAACAAACGCGTAAACTACCTCCTTGCGACTGGTGCGGATGATGGACGGTTCAGTGTTTGGGATTTGCGGACGTTTGGGAAGGGAAAGACGCCGGAGCCGGTTGCGACGTTTAAGTGGCACACAGCACCTATCACGTCCATCGAGTTCCACCCCACTGAGGACTCTGTCCTCGCTGTCGCTGGTGCGGACGATCAAGTCACCCTCTGGGACCTCTCCGTCGAGCTCGATGCGGAAGAAGAGGCTGGGCGGAGGGAATTGGCGAAAGCCGGGGGTATGGAGGTTCCCAGTCAACTGATGTTTGTGCATCAGGGGCAGGAGCAGATCAAGGAGGTGCATTGGCATCCGCAGATTCCGGGAGTTGTGGTCAGTACGGCGGGCAATGGTTTTAATGTTTTCAAGACGATTTCTGTCTAGGTCATAGGAGCAGCATCTAGAAGTCAATTCACGCAAGTGTTACGTGATACATTATTTGTCCCTTTCTCTGTTCCACAGATCGCCTTGACTTCCGTTCCAAGTGTGATCCTTCAAGCTCGAAGTTGCGTGTCCCGCGGGCTTATGCACTGTACGAGGGCCGCATGCTCGAAAAGACTAGATGGCACTTGACGTGGGCAGTCATCCTCGGGTCTTCTTATTGCAACGAACTGCGACTTCACCCATGCCTTTTCCAGATAACGTCAGGCATCCGCAGGTGCCTTTGGCTTCGTGTGCATAAACACCAACCTCTCCTGATACCTCTCCAAAGCCCTAAAGAACCTCAAATGCTCCTGTCGTTGGAATCCATTCTCATCTGCTTTCTGTGCTGGTAACCTCTTCTGCCTCACTCTTCTCCGAATCTCGGCTCCTTGATCATACGCCTGATACAATTTCTCTACATCCTTCACACCCGTCACGAGACCCTCATCCAGCTTTTGCTCCCAGGACGTAACAATAGCTTCTTCTCGCTCCGCAGTACCTGGGAGGAGACGATTAATTTTGTACGTATCTCTCATGATCGTTCGTAACAGATCAACCGCATCGACCGTCAAGCTCAACGAATCCCACTCCACCCATACACTCATCACATCTTCATCACTAGCCCATAACGAGTACGCAGCAGTGATATGCACCTTCCCGCTCTTCACAGCCTCCATGAACTCATCCTTGAGATACTTCGTCACCTCTTCCTCTTTCACACCGAACGTTGCTCGTCCATATGCCTTATCGTACGAGATGAAGTGGAAGTCGGCTTCGACTACGACCCGGTTGTCTGTCCGGACTGACCCATACCCCGCTTCGAAAGAGAATGTACATTGTGGTAGGAGGCGCGGGATAATCGTTCTGTCGATGTAGTCTCTGAAGTCTCTCGAAGTATGCCGGGCGGAGAAAAGAAGAGTGAGAGGATCTGTGTGCGCCAGGTGGACAAGGATCTGGCTGACCAGCTCAGGTGGGAGAGTGACAGTCATTTCAGCGAGATGATATCGACGACGGTCGAGAGTGATCTGTGCACCCACAGCTAACGTACATACGTCAAGATGACTTGACAGCTGCCGTATAAAGGTACAAACGGCATTGCCAGGGACCGGCCATTACAACGGCACATACCAGCAACCGAAAGAGAAAGAAAGGGACAAGAAGATAGTCAAAAGAATGGTCCTGTATAATATGTACATATGGTATCCACGTCCAGGACGAGTGACCTTTTCACAACTCGTCCTCCCGTATCCCTAATTTTATATAATATCCCGATCCCGTCCAACCATAACAAACGCAGCCCTGTAACTGAAACTCCATCCCATGCCATGCCCGTGCACCGGCAATCTTTGCATCTTATCGACCCTCTTCGATCCCCTTCCTCATATCAATCCCCATCCGCCTATTTTTGTATCGGATATGCTTACTCGCGGGAAACATCACGTCCGAACATCTTAACCTTCACCCAATCGAAAACGACAAGAGTCTTGTTTCTCAAAGAGAACAAGTTAGAAACGTAGGCGGAGCGCCAGAAGAGGTAGGTAGCGGCACCACCAGAGGAGAACAAGTCCTTCATGAAGGGGAGCTGCAAGTCAGCGATAGCCTTGTCGGAACCGATGTAGGCCAAGGAACCCTGGTGAGAGTAGTGGAAAGGAGACATCTGCTTAGTGCGAGACAAGGCCTTTCCAACGGCCTCCAACTCAGCCTCGAGACCGGCGCGGGCGGGGGCGTCGACGGGGGTGACGGCGAGCTGGGACTGGAGGTAGGCAATATCAGCCTCCAAGGAGTGAGTCCTGGCCATGGAGTTGAAGAGACGACCGAGGTAAGCACCCTGCTGGGCAGCAACCTGGGCAGTAGGAGCGTACTTGGTCTGGGAAGCATCACCCAACGCCCAGATACCCTCGCAACCCTCAACGACGAGGTAGTCGTTGACAGAGAGACCACGACGAGCGTTCTTCTGAGCGGGCAACTTCTTCATGATGTCAACGACGACCTTGCGGGGCTTGTTACCACCGGCCCAGACGAGAAGACCGTAAGGGATCTTCTGGAGCTCAGAGGTACCGTCGGGCTTGGTGACGGAGACGGAGATGTACTTCTCGTCAACGCTCTTGACCATGGTCTTGGTGTGGATGGTGATGTTCTGCTCAGCGAAGGTGTCCTCGGTGTACTGAATCAACTTCTTGGAGAACATGGGGAGAACGTTGGTCATGGCCTCAATGAGGGTAACCTGGTAATCGTCTTTGATCTCGGGGTACCACCTCCTCAAGTCCTCCTCGAGGAAGTCAGCCAACTCAGCGGCGAACTCAATACCAGTAGGTCCACCACCGACGACAACGGTGTGCAACAACCTCTTCTTCTCCTCGGGAGTCTGGTCCTTGAACAAAGCGGCCTCAACACAGTCCATGATCCTGGTACGGATCTTCTGGGCATCCCAGATCTCCTTCAAGAAGCAACCGAACTCCTCAACACCGGGGATACCGAAAGTCTGGGTCTCGGCACCACATCCAACGACGAGGTAGTCGTACTTGATGGAGTTCTCCTTCACGTCACCGGTGACATCGGAGTTGTCGCGGATCTTGAGGATCTTGTTCTCGTGGTCGATCTCGGTAGCCTCGGCCTCGAAGAAGTTGACAGCAGCCTTCTTGTGACGGAGGATGTGACGGATAGGCTGCATGATAGAGCGGAGCTCAATGGTACCGGTAGGAGTGGAAGGAAGGAGAGGAGTGAACAAGAAGTAGTTGCGGGGAGAGACAACAACGACGTTGTAGTTCTCAGTGTCCAAAGACTTCAACAAAGAAGTGGACGCCCATCCAGATCCGAGGACAACAAGGGTCTTCTTGCTGGGGTCGGCAGGAAGCTGGTTCTCGGGGTGACGGTCATCGTAGATAACTGTAAGATCGCAAACACTGATCAGCCACACGTCATCCTCCAAGCGGCTTCATGAACCAAAGCCTGGATCGATTGACACGTACCGTACGCGAAAGCACCGGCACCGACGATGGCGGAGATGTAGGTCGCCCTCCACGCCTTCTTGAAGAAACCGGCCTTCTTCACGGGCACGGGCTCGACGGGAGCAGCAGTGGTGTTCCATCTGCGAGCGATCTGGCGGGCAGCGGAAGGAGCCCTGAAAGCGGCGCGAGCAGCAGCGGATCTGAACATCGTTGACGATGGAGAAGTGGATCGAGGAGGGTTGATGGGCTGGTTCTCACAAAGTCTGACTCCGAGGACCTCCCGGAGCGTGTGCCTCGAAATCTGGCCCTAGTGCCAAAAACAGCGGAACCAACAAAAATTCAGATGTGCCAGGCCCACACGCACTGAACAGGCACTGGACGTGTATGTGATACGATAAGATGGTGAACCGAAGATATGTGTGTGTGTCTACGATGTATGTACATATGTGTAAATAAACCCAATATGAACTCCCAAACGCCGCCTAAGCAAACCGATTGACTGGATCAATCATCAAACTCCCTCATCGCTTCCTCGTCGTCGTTGTACTCGTCATCTATCAATCGCTTTGCAGCCCTAGGCCCCACCATGTCCGCCATCTGCATCAAATCCAACTCCATCCGCTGCTGCCTCTTGTCATCCTTCAAAGTAGCCGCAATCACCTTACTCGGCCCAGTGATATTCATCAAGCTCCGGTAAAACGCCGACACCTTCGGGTGCGCCATAACCTTACTCGCCTGAAACCTCAACACCTGCAACCCCGCCTGAGACGTCGCACGCGACAACGCGACATACGCCTGTCCCTTCTCAAACACCCTCCCCAGATCAACCTTGACACGTTCGAGCGTTTGTCCCTGACTCTTGTGAATCGACATCGCCCATGCCAAAAGCAAGGGAACCTGCGATCTCTGAGCTTGGACATCGCCGTTCGGTAACTCGACTTTCCAACTTTCCGGTTGACACAAGAAATCGCGCGAAGCACCATTCGCCACCTCAAACCTCACGAGTGGCCACAGCTTCCCCGTAGTAGCCATACTCTGCAACATCTGCACCTTGGCCCTCTTCCTCTTCTTCGACGGATTCTCCCCATCGCTCTCCTCTCCAAGCCCGAACGGATCATCATCTGGACACTCATCCTGCCACGTCTGAAACGTCTTCTCGTTCATATACCCAATCACCTTCCCCAAAGATCCATTCACAAGCTGTTCATCAACATTCTTGATCAACATAACCTGCGCACCCATCTTCAACTCCAACACAGGCGGTGCCATACACGACGCCAACAACTTATCCCTCATCGCCTTATCCGTCACCGAACCCGTATCCATCGCATTGAATGTCCGGGCTTCACCACTCAACTGCCTCAACCGCGTGGTATTTGCATTATCGACCTCCCACCTCGTCGGAAACAACTCCGTGGGCTCCAACCCATCCCCCCAGTTCCTAGCCCTCGACAACGCCTGAAACGCAACCACAGTCTTCTGCGTCAACTTCCCCATCCTCATTTCATTCAGCATATCCACGAAATCCTGATCCTTCTGCCTGAAAACTTGGGTAAGCGCAATCGTGTGTCCAATCGCCTCCTTCCAACTCTTCGCCTCGAACGTAAACTTGGCTTGTTTGTTCGCGTCGGGGACAGGCGGTAACTGGAAGAAATCACCACACATAACCAACTGAATCCCACCAAACGGCCTCGTATTATTCCTCAGTGTCCTCGCCAATTCCTCGAGTTTATCGAACAAATCCGCATCAACCATCGAAATCTCATCCACGATCAAGACCTTTGTCCGCATCCACCTCGTCGCAGCTTTCTTATTCTTCTTGATCTTCTTCACGAGATCAGCTACCGACTCCTTCCCCAATCCGATACCAGCAAAGGAATGCAGTGTGGTACCACCGATATTGCACGCAGCCAACCCCGTACTCGCCGTAACCGCAATCGAATCCGAACTCTTCTTATAAGACCTCTTCAACTCCGAAATCAACTCCCTCAACAACACAGATTTACCCGTTCCAGCCGATCCAGTAAAGAACACACTCTTCTTCTGATTCAACACGAGGTCAATGACACCCCTCTGCTCTTGTGACAAGAAAATCCCGGGTACATTGCGAGATTTATCCTTCATGGTCACAGTCTCCCTCCCGACCTTAGCCTTGTTCTCCGCCCCCTCGTCCTTCACAGCAGCTGCAGCTTCCTCATTCTTAACCATAGCCTCCGCCGCCCTCTTCTTCTTCAAAGTCGTCTTCTCAGCCTGAATCGCGCTCATACTCTTCTCCCAGGGATACGCACGTTTCTCGGCTCCAGCCGCAACAGTACGCGCCTCCGGTTGCACAGCCGGACTCGAATTCAACGCCGTACGCTCATCCTTGACTTGTGGGTCGGCTCGGGATCTAGCCTGGTGACTCAGAGTTCGCTGCTGGATTGACTGTTGCACACCACCCGCATCACGATTCTTCGTCTCCCACGGTAACGTCCTTGGCGCCTTTTCCTTCTTCACCGGCGTAACCAGACTTCCCTCCCGCTTCAATTCGACCTCGACAGGCTTCGGCACCATACTCGGCGGCTTAAACCCTGGAGCCGGACCACCACGACTCAACCCAACCCTCCTCTGTCCCTGACTCGGTGGTCGTCGTTGTAATACCGTCGCAGTTTGGTGATGTTGCGGTGAACTCGACCACTCGAATGGTGCGGAGCTACTCGGTACCCCGGCTCCACGTGCCGGCGAGGGGTGAAGAGGTGATGGCGGGATGGGTTGGTTCATGCTGGGTAGTGGTGCCGGAGGCCGTGGTAGTTCGTATTTCGAGTATGGGGGTGGTGGAGCTTCCCGTTGCTGTTGTTGTCGTGGTGCTGGTGGTGCTGGTGGTGCTGATGGCGGTTGTTGACCAGCATTCATGAACGGTAATCTGGGCTGCTGCTGAGGCGGCGGGGGATTCGCAATCCTCCTCACCTTCGGCGTCGGTACCGAGAAATCCAAATCCAGATCATCGTCGAAATCCGCCTCGTTGAACTCGACTCCATACTGTGCATAGTTCTCTACCTCATCCCTGAACGCATTCGTATTACACATCCCTCCACCCGCAAAGAGGCCCTTCTTGACTCCTCCTCCCGAATTCTGAGACGGAGCGAGTGGTGCCGCCTTCATGGCATCCAAATCCGACTTTGCCTGCTGTGATCCCGAACCAGACCCAAACGGCAACGTCCTCTGTCCTCCATTTCGTTGTTGCGAACTCTGACTCGCACTCGCCTGCGCAGCGGAGGCAGCACGGTGGAACATTCTCCTCAATCCTGACGTCGACGAGGGAGCACAAACTGATGATGATGTTCCACGCGTTCGAGTATAATGAATGAGACGGACGAGCATACACCCCTAGGCCAGTGTTGCTGTTTGGACGTTTGTCGGTTGTTGCTGCAGTTGTTTGCTCGAAGCTCAACTTCGAAGTCGCCTTTAGAATTGGGCGCGTAAAGTGCAGGGCACAGCTGCAGGGAGCCGGCCGCTTGGACCTCTACACCAAAGCAGCAAGCGAACTCCTCAGGAAGAGGGAAGATCAGAACAACAATACCGTTGATGCCCCGTGCAGGACACGACAACGACAGACCAGATGGACTCACCAACACTGAGCCAAAGCGAGTTAATCACCGACTGGACCGTCGACCAAGTCTCCTCCTGGCTCGGCGCACTCAACTACGAGAAATACGCCCCGTCCTTCACAGGTTCGTCCCAGCATTCACCCCCACTGACTTCAATACTAACCCTTTGAGGATAGAGAACGGGATAACCGGCGAAATCCTCGTCCACCTCGACCACTCCTCCCTCAAAGACCTCGGCGTCACATCCGTCGGCCACCGCCTCCACCTCCTAAAAGCAATCTACCAAATAAAAGTAACACACGACATCCCCATCGAATCACACCACTTCATCCCCGCCACCTCCGTGCTGGACGGAACGGGTGCGATGAGTGGGGATCCGGACCTAGCATGGTTGCAGGCGGGGATGAGGATGAGGGATGAGCGGATTGCGGGGGTGGAGGGTGGGATGCAGAAGCTTGGTGAACAACTCGCGAAGCTAAGGGAGGAGTTGTTGCCGGTTTTTAGGATGGCGAAGGAGAGGATGCCATTACCCACGCCCGGAGGAGTCCCCGACGTCGCACCCTCAGCAGCAGCAGGTATCGGCCGTAGCGCAACCACCTCCCGTGCCCGCGGCGTCGACGGACTCGGCGTGAGTAGCCCACCACCCCCACGACGACCAAAGCCCCCACCACCACTCAACACCGCCGTCGCAAACGCACACCAACCCCTCGGCCTAACATCCTCAACCTCAACACCCTCCCTCTCAACCACAGCCTCTCTCCCCTCAACCTCCGTCTCAACCTACTCCTCCCCCCCCTCAGCCTCCGCCTCCGCCTCCACCTCAAAAGACATCCCAGACGCCTTCAAGTCCTTCCGCGTTTCCCTCGACGACCCCTGTTCCCGCGTCCTCCCCGCCGCACTCCGTCGATACCGCATAACCGGCTCACCCAACGACTACGCCCTCTACATCGTCTATACCCCTCCGCCCACCACGCCGTCGTTGTCTGGAGCGCCGACGCCGAAGATGCAGCAGGTGGAGAGGTTGTTGAGGGATGAGGAGAAGCCGTTGTTGTTGTTTCAGCAGTTGCAGAGGGAGGGGGCGGAGCCGGTTTTTAGGTTGGGGGTTAGGCCGGGGGTTAAGGTTGCGGGTGGAGACGGGGGCAGTAGGGGGGGAATTAGTGCGGGTGGGAGGGGAGGGGGTGGGCCGCCGGGGAGTGGGATTGGGAATTTCCTTTAGGGGGCCATTTTGAGGGGGGATGATTGGGGTGTGGGAAGGGAAGGGATGGGATGGGTAGGTGGAGTTTTGCTTTTGGCATATCAGCGTCTAGATAGTATGTTTAGACATCTCTTGTTTTTTGCTCTAAATCTAGTATTTTGGTTTTGTGTCGATTGTGTCGATCTTTGTGAAGCCCAACCGTGCAAACAATCGCGTAACAGGTGGCCGCGAATCTTAGGATAGCTGACGGTGTTTGTCCTCATTAGTCAAAACACCGGTGTGAATGCTGTTTTGGAAGCACGAACTTTACTAGCTATAGGGAAGTCACGTAACTTTGTCTTGGGGTTTCGCACGCTGGTGGACCAAATGCCTTCATTCGGTTGTGCCTTTGTACAGCTCCGGCACTTTCGTGGTCATTCATAGGGCACTAAACGGTAGTAGTGGGCTCTTTTCTTTGATTCAGACGCTAATTAGCTTGATCATATCCTCTCATCAACATTCCAACGATTCGATAGGCCTATTCGTGGCTGTAGGCGTGATCGTCGTTGGTAAGACTCGGCATAGTACTTGACAGATACCGGCAACGGACTTGGGCTATCATGCCCAGTACAGAACACTCGCTCGTTTTTATACTCTCGCCATGGTCCAGCTGGAGTACGATCCCCTGCTGTGATATTTCCATTTGCCTTGGCTGGCTTCCCACGCACGGCGACATGCACCATTCAGAGAGACGAGTGCTGCAGTAGCCGATAAAGTCAGTGTACTTACTCAAAGGTGAGACAACAATTCTGAAGTGAACCAGATCTGCCAGTGATGTTCCTTTTACGAGTCAAGATGATCATTGTGAATGTTGCGGGTGCGATTGGTTTCGAGCTTGGCACCGTGACGGCGGGCAGAAATAGCGTTACGACAGGGCACAACAAACGGATGACCCAACTGCGCACCATGTTTGGATTTGTTTGAGGTTAGGGGATGGGTTCGGAAGTTCGGATACACTTGAGCAGTCCCACGGTGTGATTTGAACCGACGAAAACGGAACTACAACGCCAGCCAGAAAAGCCGCCATTAACATAGAAACCCCCAAACTGCAAGGTTGCCAAACACCTTGGTCCGTGATATCAAGCATTGGAAAACCCTCGCTCCGTTCCGGCCCGTTTCTCGCCGCTGCACTCCACAGTCTCTCCGCGGACCGACCTGCAGCGGATCCGGACCGTGCGGAGCGGCCGCGGGCGCACCGCAGCGTCCAACCGAGGCCATTTTCCCCGAGAACGACGACAAACCAAAACAACTCCACCAACCCAATTCACTCTCTCAACTCCTAGACTCTCTCTTGAATTAGGAATATGTCAGCCTCTTGTCCCCCCGTCGACCCCTCCGACATCCATCTCGTCGCCTCGGACATGGACGGCACCCTCCTCAATTCCCACCACACCCTCTCCCCACGCACAACCCACCTCCTTTCCCTCTTCCTCACTCAAACCCAACTCCCTTTCGTCATCGCCACCGGTCGTGCTCCGTGGGCCGCAAAGAATCTTCCCATCCCCTCTGGCTCATTGGCGATTCACACTGGCGGTTGTCTATTGGTGAAGTACCTCCCGCGGAGCGAGGATGAGACGGTGCCGTGGTATGAGATTTTGTACGAGGCAACGTTGGAGGCTGAGGTGGTGTGTTGGTATATCGACCACGCGTGCCGGACGAATCGCTCGCTCGTGATTTATTCTCGCGATTTAATCTGGGCCGCATCAACTCATATGCCCATGATCCACGCTCTCGAAGCGTACGGCGAGCCGAAAACCTCGTTCTGGCAAAACGGACAAGACGTTCGCAAGGAAGCCTGGAAGGGTGCGGAGGATTTAGAGGCCTTGAAGGCGGCGGTTAGGGCAGGAAAGCTGAAGGTCAATAAGTTCATCTACTTGGTCCCACCACCAACGAGGGATGCCTTGGAACAGGAACTCCTCCAACACGAAGCCATGCCCGCCGGATCGCGCGCCATTGCCTCCCAACCCGAAAATCTCGAGATCCTCCCCCTCGGCACCGACAAACTCTCCACCCTTCGCAAAGTCTGTTCCATGTACGGTACTGATATTTCCCACGCCCTGACCTTTGGTGACGCGAATAATGATTTGGAGATGGTCGGGGAAGCGGGGTACGGAGTCGCTGTCGCGAATGCGAATGAGGGGTTGAAGGCGGTTGCGAAGTGGGTTAGTGGGAGGGGGAATGATGAGGATGCAGTTGCGGAGGTGTTGAATGGGTTGTGGAAGCTCGACGAGAAGTTGGCCAATTAGATACCCTATACAGAGATTTGTGGTAGATGGATAAATCAGATCGCGTTATGCTAATCTCTGATTTTTGAATCTCCGAACACGTCTATGGTGCCCCGTGCTTGCACGTACTTCCTTCCCTCCTTACGCGATGGTATCTAGAGCAACAATCGCTCTTCGCGTACTCGTACACGTTCCGTAGTTCGTTTCGTCTGCCAGCGTACACCGTCTGAACCTCACTCGCTCCTTACTGAGCCTTTGGTGGGCTAATCATGATGACACTGTCTCCGCGCACGAACAACATCTCAGATCGCTTCTTCACAGTCTGTAAATCCGGGTTAGCAACTGATATACCCAGAGGCACCAACACAATATACCCTGATAGCATCATCCATCCCAGCATCAACATCCGTGTCGACCACGGTGATCGTCTCGTCAACGTCACTGAGGACAAGGTTCATGTGTCCGTCGTAAGCCTTCGCTCTGGGTTAGCTATGAAAAGGACAGAGTTATAACAGGGCACGGACGTGTAGTCTCCCTCTCAACTCTCTGTCACCGCGCAACTTGACGTAAACCTTCTCGTCCAACGAGAGACGGACGAGGTCCAGGGGCTCGTTCACCTGCACTCCATTTAACATCGGCAACACGTTCAGCACGAGAGCATACATACCGCACTTCTTGATTCTGCCATTGTCGTTTCTGTATACTTCACACGTCCTTGACCTTGCCTGCACGCCTCTGTAACAACGCCCAAATTCGTGGCACAGCGCATACCGGGACCTCACCAAAAAAGTACCGTGCAGCATCTCCAAAGTACGGCATACAAAGCGTCCAAATAAACGCCCAGCAACCAGCAATGTTCTCTTTACGGACGGCCGTTGCATCACTATCACTGCGGTCCGTCGCCCCGATTGCGAGGGTTGCGTTCGCGACGCCATGCAAGTTTGTGAGCCCGGTTGTTGTGCAGGCGAGGGGTGCGGCACGATCGAGCTTGCTGGGGGATTTGAGCAATGTGCCTTCGTCCTACAATAAGGTGTGTCATCTCCCTTTTGAAGAATCTGCGATTCTGGCATGCTAACGGAGATACGCACAGAAAATCCGTCGCGGTCGTGGTCCAGGATCGGGAAAGGGTAAGACCTCAGGTCGTGGTACCAAAGGTCAAAAAGCCCGTTCCGGAAAGGGTATTCGTGTAGGCTTCGAAGGAGGCCAAACCCCAATCACGCGTCTTTTCCCCAAAGTCGGTTTCCATAATGTCAACACTCTCGACTTGGCACCATTGAATTTGAACAGACTGCAGGCGTGGATTCAGAATGGACGTATTGATGGTACGCAGCCGATTACGATGAAAGAGTTGTTGGATTCAAGATGTGTTCACAATGTTCCAGGCGGTGTGAAGTTGTTGGGTGACGTATGTTCCTCCCCCCCGATGCCAATTCTCGAGGATCTCGATGACTGACAATGCCGCAGGGTGCCGAGAAATTCACCATCCCCATCACAATCTACGTCAGCCGCGCATCCTACTCCGCAATCGCTGCAATCGAGCGCGCCGGCGGCAAGATCTACACCGTTTACCACAACCGTCTCGGTCTCCGCTCCCTCCTCAAGCCCCACAAGTTCGCCGAGCGTGGTCTGCCAAAGCAGGCGCAGCCTACGAGGAGAGAAATGATTGAGTACTACAGGAATCCTAAGTGGAGAGGATTCCTCGCTAATGAGGAGGAGGGAATGAAAGAGTATCATGCTTTGTTGGCGTTGAAGGGTGTTGAGGGTAAGATGCAGAAGGCGGTGGAGGCTTAGGCATTGATTGCGCAAGAGCACTGGAGAGAAGGTGTAGATAGGGGACGAAAAGATATGATGGGGCGTTTATTTGTATTGTGAGTACGTTATGGGAAAATCATATATGGTACCGAATGAGGAAAACCAAATGTCTACGTTACCGGGCGCACCTGTGCCATGCCCACTGCAGCTGTTGACCTGACAAACGACAAATGACATGACAAACGATAGAAATGAAAATGACAACGAAAATGACAACTTCTTCATGCACAAATCCAAACTGCGAAATCTTTATAGGTCCGTGCGTGTGTTGGTAGCAACTTCGACAAAACACCCACCATGTCGACGCCGATAAATAAAAGACCTAGAATAACAATCGAGTCGCCGACTCACATGATCAAGGTCGAACCTGATCCGCCGACGATCGCGAAGGGGTACTTCATCGGTATCGATGTTGGCACTTCTTCGGCGAGGTCATGTATTGTTGATGAAGCTGGCGAGTTGATCTCGGAAAAGTCGGCACCGATCAAGATATGGCATTCACAACGCGACAATGTCGATTACTACAAGCAATCGACAGAGAATATCTGGCAGGTTCGTTGCGCGAATGTTCGTTCTGTTATCAGTGCTGCCAAGTGAAAGACGAAGGATATCAAGGGTATAGGGATTGATGCAACGTGTTCTTTGGCGGTTACAAACTAGGGGAAATCAATTGATCTGAGTCGTGAGAATCACAAAAGAGATTGGGAAAGGTTGGGGAAAGGGGGAGAAGAATGTTATCCTTTGGATGGACCATCGCGCTCACAGGGAGGCGGCAGAAATCAAACGAATTCTGGAGGCGAAGTACAAGGCGCTGCTTAAGATGAGCGATGATCAGGCGCAATACAGGGAGATTGTGGATAGCAGCACGGAAAGTGCGGAACGGGTCTGGAGATGGTCTAACTCATCAGGATCCAGCGACTCTTAATAATTGGCAAGGGCACGCGTTGCGTTGCTGCTCGGTTCAGGAGCGAAGTACAAGGTGATGCTCAAGATGAGCGAAGATCAAACGGATAATAGGGAGACCATGGATAGCGTGTGAGATGAGATAGCTCGGGGCGGGATAAGGGCACCACAATGTCGATATACCACTGTAAAATAGAGCAGATCAGGTAGAGACCGGAGTAACACAGTCACGCACATCTCCAAATGTCTGCTTGATTGCAGTGTCGAAGAACCCCCAAAGCATGGGATATATACGTCGAATTTTGGGTTCGAGAATACGCCCTCGCCGTAGCCTATGTATGACACGTCCGTAATTTCGCGAATTCAGCATTGTAGGAGCAGGAGATCCCCTTGTGTGTACAATATCGATTTACCGTCAAGCTTGCCCGGCATGAACCTGATCAAAAACCTCTGGTGCATGATGAACCAGAAGCTCGCCTAGTCTTTCACGGCTCTTGCACTTGGCACAGTACATTTGGCGTCAAGTCGCGCTTCCGAAGCGGTGTAAGCTGATCAACGACTGCGAACACTCCCTGAACCCAAGGGAAGCCATGCGGTCTGTTAGCCGTTGCCTTGTAATGACTAGTACTGGCCATGACCGTGAGAGGCGGAGGTGCGCCAGAGCTGGGTGAACACATAGAGCGCGAGCAAATCCTACGACAGGATAGTTCCATTACGAATACTGATCTTTCAAGGCAGGATCAGGTGTAGTACACGTACATAGGGACAATGAGGTAGACGGGGCGAGGTGGGACGGGTGGCTATAGGAGAGGAGCAAGAATAGAGGGCGCTGTGACACCGGACAGGGCAGGCGAGACCCGTTTCGTCTTGCCCCGAATACGACTCGCGATCGGAGGGCTTTCGATTGGCGCGAACTTCATCAAAATGATACAGCGTCGAGGAACTGGCAGGGCATGTGATGCGATGTCGAAGAACACCCTTCGCATGGAAGAAGTTGGATACCAGGGCGAGGAGAAGCGAATGGCGTAGAAGATTGAGTGAAGCAGGCATAACGTGACAGACCCCTGCCTAAATCTCCGAACTGAACCTGATCAATCGACGTGAGGTCTGGATATGTCGGCTCATGTAAATGCTTATTTTGTCATAGCACCGGCACATAAGGTCCCATCTCCAAATGCGATACCTTCGCCGAATGATGAGTGTTTCAATCCTGTTCATATTATGATCATACCAATGCTCTTCCTCCTCTCTCACGTCTATAACCCCACCACTTAAGCCTCTTCCGTAACCAAACCCCTGTTCCTCCGAGCCTCCAACAACTGATCCCTCCTACGCTCAACCGTCTCGTATTGACTCTGCTCAAAGCCGTAAATAAAGTATCCTGCAACACCGAAAAGAGCCATGTAGGAGAAGTGATGTTTCATGGTCTTCAGGTCTCCTGTACGCGCACCGATACCGTTAGCATTGTCCCAGCGATCTCGCGTAAACGGATTTGAATGCGCAAATGCATTGGAATATGATTGAGGATGGGGAGACGTACGTCCAATGTATGGCCGCTCCCTTAAACCAAGCTGCCACGCACGAACGGCAAAGCCGGTCACTGCCCATCCTGTAAGAGGTAATCAGCATACAACCCAGCAAGTTCAGTAGCGACTCAACCTACCGAGTACGTTTGCTGCCAGTCCAGCCATTGTGTATATCGTATAAAGTACCTCGAGTGTATGCTGTAAGCCCGTTTCCGCAGGCTTTGGTTTCGCGGAGTCGAGCGCTGCAAGGCCCAGGGCATACACATGCGCATTTCAACCCGCGGTAGTCATGCTACACCAAAAAAGTATACCGACCTCGAGCTCAAGCAGCATTAATCTCCATCAATTAACGGAGAGGGAAGGATGTCACCATTACCGGAACGCCCGCCAATCATGAGGAGTGGAGAAAAAGATGCGGTATCGAAGGATTCGCGATCACGGAGTCGTGGGGGAGCTGAGATGGCTGCGGACGTGAAGGAGTTCAAGCAGGGACAGCAACAAGCCGCCGCTGCTGACGACGACGCTGGTCCGAAATGTATGCTTCGGATATTTCCGCTGATTCGAGGGAGGAAGTGCTAATAACGAGATATCCAGCCAAATCAGCAAAGAAAGCCGAGAAAGCAGCACGTAGAGCACAGAAATCTGGTGGCGACGCCGACGCAGCAGCAGCCAAGAAAGCCGCCGCAATCGCCGCACGAGAAGCCGCTGCATCCGCTGCCAAAGAGCCCTCGACGCCGTCAGCGCAGTCGTCCGCGACGTCAGCTGTAGCGAATAAATCCAGCCATGGTGGTGGCGGAGAGCAAATCGCCGTCGTGGACCGGTTACAGGAAAACAAACAAGTCTCCCTCTTCTCGCACCTCGAACAAACGCGACGACTATCCACCGCAGGTGTTGCGAAAGATGTGCATCCAGCTGTCCTCGCCCTCGGCCTCCACATGGCCGAATACTCCATCTGTGGCTCAAACGCCCGTTGTCTAGCAACCTTAACCGCCTTCACAAAAGTCATCCAGGACTACCAAACACCCTCCGGCACCACCCTCCCCCGACACCTAACAACCCACCTCAACGTCCAAATCGCATACCTAATCTCTTCTCGACCTCTGTCTGTATCAATGGGAAACGCGATCCGGCATATCAAGTTGTTGATTAGTGCGGTGAGTATCGATACGCCGGAGGATGAGGCGAAAGCTGGGTTGATTGAGGAGATTGAGACGTTTGTGAGGGAGAAGATCATTGTTGCGGATCGTGTTATTGTTGAGAGTGGGTGTGGGAAGATTAGGGATGGGGATGTGGTTTTGGTGTATGCGAAATCGAGTGTTGTCGAGCAACTCCTCCTCGAAGCATGGAGGATCGGAAAACAGTTCCGGGTTATCGTCATCGATTCACGACCACTCTTCGAAGGCCGGCAAATGCTGCGGACACTAGCCAAAGCTGGGATCCCGGTCCAGTATGGATTCTTGAGCTCAATCGCGTATTTGATCAAGAGCGTCACGAAAGTCTTCTTGGGCGCCCACGCGATGCTATTCAACGGCAGCATGTACTCCCGTGTCGGAACCGCACTCGTGGCAATGACAGCCCGCGACTCTGATATCCCCGTCATCGTATGCTGCGAATCCTACAAATTCACCGAACGCGTCCAGCTTGACTCTTTTGTGTTTAACGAGCTCGCGTCGCCTGATGATTTGGTTACTACGAGTATTGGGGATAGGTCCGATGGGGGTGGGGAGGGGCCGTTGAAGGGGTGGAGGGATATGGGGGGGTTGAGGTTGTTGAATTTGATGTATGATGTTACGCCGGTGAAGGATATAACGATGGTTGTTAGTGAGGTTGGGATGTTGCCTGCGACGACGATTGCGGTTGTTGTGCATGAGACGAAATTGCAGGGATAGAAAGAAAAGTGACTTCGAGAGTAGAACATCGTGGTGCATGGGGCATGGTTAGTGGTTATTGCTGTTTTATTTAGTAATGCAGCTTGAGACTCCTCTCTTTAGGAGTTTGACAAAACAAAGAAAATAACTCCGTATCCCTTGACTTTTTCACACCTTCATGTCCTCTAATAAGTTTTCGCCGGATCCTCCACAATCTCATCCAACCTATCGCCCAACTTAACCAACCCCACCCGAATAACCCTAGGATCCATTCGCAAAGTCTTGATCGCCTCTCTCTGCGCCATTGGATTAGAGTCGAATTGCATGATGACTTGTTTGCCAAAGTAGTAGTCTTCGCCTTGGTTGTGGTAACGTTTTACGAGGGGGACATCGCCGCTGTTGCGGATTTTGCGGATGACGCCCCCGTGTTTGAGGATGGTTGTGCCGGCTGTGCGCATCATCTCGCGGATGGTTGGCTACGTACGGACGATGGGTCAGTACAAGTTCATGGATCGGGCGGGCGTGGGCTGAGAGGAGGAGAAAGGAGAGGGACTCACGGCAGCGATATCTTTGCGGACCAGTGCAAACAGCTCGTAGAAAACCATGGTGGTTAGGATGTCGGCGGGGCGAGTGCTGGTGCTTTCGTGCATCCAGGTACAACAACCCGCGATAAGGGGCCGTGCCTGGACTCGGTGGAAGCACCCGTGGCAGCAGCACCCGCCCTCGTCGTCCAAGGCTCGTCTTCCATACCAGGCACCAAGATGGCTTCACTCGTCCGTTCTACACTGCGCGCCTCCATTCTGCGTCCATGTTTCGCGCAATCGCCACCGAGGAGCCTTGTTGCGATGGCTGCGAGGTTCGAGAGCACGATTAGGTTTACGAAGGATCACGAGTGGATTAGGACGGAGGATGGCAAGACGGGCACGATTGGCATTACGGAGTTTGCTGCGAAGGGTGCGTGGTTGTCATTCAGTGCTGTGTGCGGGTAATGGTGATTTGACTGACTGTGTGTGTATAGCGCTTGGTGATGTCACGTTCGTTGAGTTTCCTGAAGTCGGTCAGGAGTTCAGCCAAGGAGGTCCGTTCCCCCATCCTTCCCCACTTCCAGTGCACCTCCGCTAACGCCCCAGTGCCCCAGACCAACTCGGCGCCGTCGAATCCGTCAAAGCCGCAACAGACATCTACTCCCCCCTCACCGGCACAATCCTCTCTATCAACGAAGACCTCGCCAAGAAGCCTTCCCTTATCAACAAGGGACCGTTGGGGAAGGGGTGGTTGTGTACGATGGAGATTGGGGAGGGGGGGGAGGTGGAGATGGAGGCGTTGATGGGGGAGGAGGAGTATGTTAGGTATACGGAGGAGTAAGGTGGAGGCGGAGCGTAAGATAGCGGGGTGTATGCGATTGAAAAGAGGCAATGAAGGCGTTTCGCCAGGATGCTAGTCTATGTGTTCATCAACCACGTTCATCCCTTCTCAGCACCGTGATTTTTGCTCCTTAATTTGGCCCCACGGTTCACGGGTCCAGGCACTCACACGCGCTCACGCGCTGCCGTCGCGTCGTACTGACTTCTCCAACGTCCTCGAAACCCAACAAACCCAGCACAGCCAGCTGTTTTCCTACACGAGACATCCGGGCTTTCGATTTGATCAACAGTCCTCCACTTACGAATATTACGGCTCGAAGTGAAAGAGATAAAGGCTTCCCGGACAACGAGGACGAGGAGAATCGAACAAAAACGGACTTTGGAGGGGTTGATGGGGGAAACCACCTAAAAGGTTTGCTTTGAGGGCTCGAGCTGTCAGTAGTGGTCCTAACCAAGACAAATAAACAGCACCCACAATGACCGACTCCACAATTCCACTCACGACTGAGGAACCACCTAAACCAGTCCGCAAACGAGGACGACCTCGAAAAAGTAAAGACGGGCCTGAAGATGAACAAGAGTCTTCGACAGATAGGGAGGTTGCGGGAAAGACGGGGAGTAAGAGAGGGAAGAAAGATAAAGATAAGACTGCGGGTATGAAGGATTTGAGTACGTGGTTTGGGAAACCGAGCACCGAAGCGGGTACCGGTATGACCTGGCATGATGGAGAAGGGGATGCGGTGATGAACGATGACGATGTGCAAGTAAACGAACCGTTGACATGGCCACAACCACGCCCCGTTCAAGAAGGGATGATGGATGAGGATGTTGTCGTGCTCATGGAAGACGTCGTCGTACCCAGTACATCTCAACAATCCCTCGGAACCTCTGCTCCACCACCAACCTCCACAGCCCCCGGAATCGAATCCTCGCTACCGACGGCGCTGGACGCAGTGGAGATAGTGGAAAGTGAGAGTGAGAGTGAGAGTGACGTCGAGTCACGAGGGCGGACGATGAGCCAGATTGTGAAGTTGAAGATTGGACCGGAGCTGCTGAGGAGTCTCAGTTCTCGATCACAGATGGAGGAGGGGGAAAGTGTGGTCCAAGTTCCGGCTACCTCGTCCCCGGAGCGTGGTCCAGTGCCAGAGTCGTCGCAGGGGAGTTTGATGGTCAAGTTGAGGATCAGTACACCTGCGTTTCAGTCGAAGCGGAAAGAGCCCGAACACGATGAACCGCTCCCTGCCGTTAAGGACGAGAAGGCCGTTCCGAAGACCGTGCACCCGTTCTTTGGGGGTGCGAAGGCACGGAAAGCATTAACGGTCAGGGCAAAACCGGTGAAGGGGGAAGATGAGGACGACGAGTCGAGTAAGAAGCGGAGACGGAAGTCATCTGAGGGCAGTGTCGGCGAACCCATGGCCAGCGTAGCAGCCACCATTGAGGTCGTGCAGCCTGCGCCAAGAGTTGAGGCTGGTCCACAGAAAGCCACACATCCGTTCTTCAAAGCCAAACCCTCATCAACGAGCACGAGCGCACCAGGAAGTTTTAGCTGGGGAGGAGGAGCACGGGATCCGTTTAGGGGCATGATGGGGAATCCGAAGATTAATTATGGGATCCCAACGCCGTGGCCGAGTGCGGATAATATGCATGTTCGTGATTTGCCTCCCACGACGCTGTTCGAACATGTCGAACAGGGTGGTTGGGGTATGGGTGGTGTGAGGAAGGGAAAGGCTGTTGCGGTTGAGGTGTCTGAGAGGGAAGATGTGTTGAAGCTGTATGAGGAGAAGCTCAGTGCGGGGATGGGTAGCGGGACGCGATGTCTGTTTCCGGAGAAGGTGTTGACGACGGGGGCGGAGTTACAGAAGTTTGCGGAACTGCAGTATTATGGGAAACCGGCGTTACAGAGGATGTTTCGGCGGATTAAGGAGAAGACGGCGTTTGATTGTGGAAAGGTGGAGAACCAGATGTTGGTTACGAAATATGCGCCGACGAAGGCGGAGGAGGTGTTGACGGATGGAAAGGCGGCGAAGGAGTTGAAGGAGTGGTTGGGGGAGATGAAGGTTGCGTTAAAGAGAGCACGCGCTGCGCCGCCGCCAAAGAAGAAGGGGCTGTTTGGGTTTGGGAAGAAGAGGGATGAGGACATGGATGACTTCATTGTGGATGATGATGAGGTTATGGAAGAGATGCCGGTGTATGAGGAGATTGAGGATAGTGACGATAAAGACTTCAATGCGCCTGGATTGAGGAAGAAGATGAAGAGGGAGAAGAAGGCTGTGCTTGAAGTTCCTTCGAATGTCATTATTTTGGAGGGACCGCATGGGTGTGGGAAGACTGCGGCTGTGTATGCTGTTGCGCAAGAACTCGGCTTCGAAGTTTTCGAAATCAACGCTGGCGGGAAGAGGAGTGGGAAGGATATCCTCGACCAAGTTGGTGAGATGAGTCAGAGTCATTTGGTGCATCAACACAAGAAGGGTGAGAAGGAAAGTGAGAAGAAGGATAGTTTGATCTTGATTGAGGAGGTTGATGTTTTGTTTGAGGAGGATAAGGGGTTTTGGCAGACTGTGCTTTCGTTGTCGCAGAGGACGAAGAGGGCGATGGTGTTGACGTGCAATGATCCGGTATTGTTGCCGGCGATGTCGTTGGAGAGTGCGGTGAGGTTGAAGTTCGAGCCCGTGAGCGTGAAAACTGTTGCGGAGTATCTGCACCTCATGACGCTCGCTGAGGGACATCTGGTGGATAAGGCTGATTTGGAGGCGCTGTACGAGACGAAGGGAAATGACCTCCGTGCAGCGATTATGGAGCTGGACTTTTATCTGCAAATGGGAATCGGCGACCGGAAAGCTGGACTGGATTGGTTGCATCTCCCAAAACGCGGGGTCGTTGACGATGTCCGTATCGCCTCCAAAGGAACATATCGACGAGGATTGGATCTTGGGGAAGTGGAGACTGACGAAGATATCGTGAGTGGGATGCAGACGGTGTTTGCTTCTGAGCGATTTTCGGAGTTGTTGTCTCGTATGGTTGATGTCCGGGAGAAGGAGACCGATGTGATGAGTCTTGACGCCGTGATTGAGAAGCCACCACTCAAGGACTTGGGTGCTCTTGATGCATTCATGCGGTATGCGGATGATATGTCGTTCATGGACACGTACGTCGATCAGCAGCATACTACGTTCGAGGTGCCACAGCCGAAGGTGGCGGACGACGAGCTCGTCCATGGTCGAGCGCCTCATCTTGATGATGTGATCGGATACCCCATTTTGGCACCGACCTCGGCGAGGTATACGATGGCTGGATTGGACGAACTTAGGTATTCTCCGGCTACCCAAGTACTGATACGCGAATGCTTCCAACAGCGCTGTGCGAACCTCAAAGATATCCGCATCATGGCTTTCGCCGAAGTCGACCGCTCGACCCTCCTCAGCTGCAGTGCCATGTCAGTGGAGAGTGATCGCAGTGTGAAGCACTTAATCAAAGACGAAGCATTTGCCGACCTCGCCCTTCTTCCCGGATGGAGTCATAATCTGTATCCACATACTGTGGCACACCGCCCGCTCGCTATCTTGACCACGGATCTTGGACCACATGTCCGCGATATCGTACGACACGACCAACAGGCAGCAAAGATACGGACGGAGCAGAGTTCGCTTCTATGCATGGGTGGTGGTCAAGGACGTGGAAGAAACACTCGAGCTGCTGCGGCGGCGAGTGGATGGGGTGGGAGACGGGAGAAGTATCTGGAGTATATTGATGCGGATGTTGTGTTGAGGACGGCAGGAAGTAACTGGATACCAGATGCATAGGCAGGACAATATATGGGAGAACTAAGGAGCATGGCGTTTTCGGCTTTTTGATATGGTTGAGCATGGAAAGGTTAGCATCGATCTCGCAGAATGGATTATCTGTACAAAGATGTTGTGAAATGGCCTTCTGATGTGGACAAACGTCGATCTGTCATGGGCACCAACAGTCAAGATCATAAGAACTACCGCAAGCAACAATCTGCGACCACCTCGATGCATTGTGGGTATGCTGCAACCTTCAATTGTGTTGGGTAGCGTGGGAAGAACCCCTGATTCCGCGGGTGTTGGAGTTCCCGGTGCACGGTCCTCTCTGGAACGTCATACACGACCATCCCTGGTTTTCCCACGCCACCTCCTGAGCGACAGTCGCACCCATAAAATCCGCACTCCACCCACACCCGCCCCTTTTCCCCGTCCGACCACCAAGCTCTTCTGTCGTTTCTTCTCCTTTTTTTTTCTCTTGCACTAACAGCAAAGCTTCGACTCGTTTGCAAGAGCACGATGGGTAACCTAACTTCCACGGTTGCTCCAACTGCCACATTTGCGGCTTCCGCTTCGGCTTCCGCTTCAATCGGGGCCGCACTCAATTTCACCTCGATGACGACGTCGACTTCGACGATTACGTCTACGGTTGCTATGTCTTCCTTATTAACGTCGTCCTCGACGACGATGGCTACCGTTACTATGTCATTGTCGTCGTCTGCCATGGCCACAACGTCCACTACACTCGCTTCAACTCCTTCTTCGTCTTCTTCCTCGTCCGTGGCTGCCGCTTCTGCTTCCTCTTGCTCTTCCTCTTCGTCCTCGTCTTCCTCCACTTCCTCCTCCACCGGCGGGAACCACATCGCGGTCTACGACAACCACTTCTACAACACCGACACCATGGAGGAGTTCTACATCAAGGGAGTCGACTGTACACTCGCCAACTTCCCTTCCCCACGCATGTATGTTAACGCACTATTTCCCAGACCAAGTCGGCGGCAACGCAGCAATGTCCTCTGGCTCCGACCCCCTCTCCGACATAACCTCCTGCAACCGCGACATTCCCTACTTCAAACAACTCGGCATCAACGCCATCCGCGTCTACTCCGTCGACAACACCCTCAACCACGACGAATGTATGTCAGCCCTCGCCGATGCCGGGATTTATTTGATACTCGATGTCAACACACCCGCGGAGGGACAGAATATCGAGTCGTATGATCCGAGTGGGACGTATACATTGGGGTATTTGGAGCATGTTTATAAGACGATTGATGCGTTTGACGGGTATGGAAATTTGCTGGGTTTTTTTGCGGGGAATGAGGTTTGCCGTGAACCCCCTTCTTCTCCCTCCTCTTCCCCATGAGATGAAGGGTTTCTTGTGAATAGCGAATGTTGACGAGGATAACTGTAGGTCATTAATGACACGACTTCGTACAACCTCGCGGCACCCTATGTCAAAGCCGTTATTCGCGACATGAAGGCCTACATTGCCAAGAACTCTCCTCGTACAATCCCGGTTGGGTACGCGACCAACGACGACTTGACGTACCGTGTTCAGTTGTCCGAGTACTTGGCATGTGGACCGACCAACGAGGCCGTTGACTTCATCGGGTTGAACCAGGTATGTGACTCTCTTACTTCTTAGTCGTATTGTTCATGACAAGAGTACTGACGAGGATACCCACAGTACGAATGGTGCGGCTACTCAAACTACGAAGCCTCCGGCTACGCAAACCTCACAGAATCCTTCACCTCCTTCCCCCGCCCAATCTTCTTCTCCGAATACGGCTGTAACCTCGTCTCCCCCCGTCCCTTCACCGAAGTCGCCTCAATCTACTCCTCCAACATGACTTCCGTATTCTCTGGTGGTCTGGTCTTCGAGTGGGTCGAGGACAGTAAGAACTATGGGTTGGTGGAGGTGAATGGGGGGAGTGTTACGGTCTTGCAGGATTTTGAGAATTTGGAGAGGGAATTGAGGAGGGTGGAGGGGGAGATTCCGGTGAGGAAGGTTGGGGGGAGTGGGGTTCGGGAGGAGAGTTGTGCGGCGGGGAGTCAGAGTGTGCCGGAGCCGCCGAAGGGGGCTACGACTGTTAAGCCAACTTCTTCGCCTGTGTCGTCATCTTCGTCTTCTTCTGGTTCGACATCAAGCTCTGAATGCACCTCTGGTTCAGGCTCTTCGTCTGGCTCTGGTTCATCTTCTGGTACGTCTGGCAAGACTGGCGCCGCCTCGGGTCCTTTCTACTCCAACTCTACCACCGGAGGCTGCGCAGGATGTTCTGGCTCCTCTGGATCTGGCTCTTCTTCCACCTCCTCCTCCTCCTCCGACAACGTTAAGACGGGAAGCTCCACAAGCGCCGGAACTGACTCGGGTACTGGCATGACCACTTGGAATATGACTGGATACACTTGGTCTGGTTCTGCGTCTAACGCTGGTGGTAAGGCTGCTGATGCACCCTCCGGGACTGGTGCTGGTGCTGCTTCTGGTATGGGCTCCAAGTCTAGCTCCACTGGTTCTTCCGATTCCACCGCTTCTGCTGCCTCCTCCTCCACAGTCAACTCCGCCGGCTCTGTCTCCAGCTCCGTCCAACTCAACACCACCGCCGCCGCAGCCCTCGCCACCCCCAAGAACTCCACCGCTGTGCCCTACACCGCCCTCACCGACACAGATAGCGAATCCACCTCCAACTCTGGGCTAGGTGGTGCGAGTATCGTCACGCAGGAGACTTCTGCTGGTGTGAAGATCGTGGGGAGGGAAGTTGAGGGGTGGGTTTGGGGTGTTGTAGTTTTGGTGGGTGCGGTTGTTATTGGTGGGATGGAGGGGGACGTTGTTGGGTTGGTTGGGTTGTGAGTGTGAGTATGAGTATATTGTGGTGGGATTGGAGAGATTTGTAGGATGGACTGGTTGACTTGTTTCGTGATATATCTGGGTCAGAGAAGTGAGGGGAAAGTTGTGTGTTTGGGATACCCGGTTATAGGTGTGACCACTGGTGATTTGTTTTTTCATTTTTGTGATACCCGGCGTGGGAGTTTGCAATGGGGGAGCGGGAGTGACATTGAGATTGAGATACCTATAATTGTGGACGGTACAACAAGAGGATTAGATACGCATGCCTTGATACGATGGATTTGCATGTCCATGTCCATGTCACCTCCAAGACCTCCCATCGCCAACCTGCACTCAACTCTTAAACCTCGATGTCAATTCACGACCGTTGAGGACGGCTGTGACAAACTACCGACGTCATGACACCCGCTCCGCATCGAGGCCGAACACCGCACGTGATCCGCGTCTCAATTGCCGAAGTCACGCACTGACCTGCCCTCGTAGCCGGGCCTGTCAAAATGGGCGATCTCGACTTCGGTTGGTTCGCTTATCTGACACCTGCAATCAGTTTTGGACCCAACGCGCTCGGGTAAACTGCTCATCGGTAAGAGGCGATTTTCCGTGGAGACTGGGAGGCTGAGTGTTCGGCAGCGAATCACCGCGCGTGACTCTGCGGTTTTGCCGCGTTGTGAGATTTTCCGCGGGTGTGGATGAGACACTCCGCACGTCGAGAACCACCAGAGCTATCGCCGCGTTTTTTTTCGTGTGGGATGATGGGTTGATGGGAGGGTACATAAGGGTGCTCAGTTCCCCAGGTTGCCAGATCTGTCATACCATTTCGCCGTCGCCTATTGCTTACCCAGTGAGTGCAACAGCAGCAGCGAGGATGGCTTCTACTACTTACCAGCACGACTTGGAGAAAACCCTCCCCGATGCCGCGATCAACTCTATCCCTTCCTCCCGTTCCTCCTCCCTCGACCCAACGAACAAAGACGCAAACCCGAATGCCATTGGCGGCGATATCGACCCCGTTGCCGAAAAACGCCTGAGACGGAAATTGGATTTCAGGATCTTGCCGCTCGTGTCGTTGATGTACCTCGTCGCGTTCATCGATCGTGCGAATATCGGAAACGCACGTATTGCGGGCATGGAAACCGATCTCGATCTCAAGGGGTACCGATTCAATATCGCACTCACTGTTTTCTATGTTTTCTACGTCGTTGTTGAGATTCCTTCGAATCTTATCCTCAAACGCGTTGGTCCTAAGCTTTATCTTCCTGGTCTTGTTGGACTCTTTGGTTTGGTTTCGTTTTTGACTGCGTTTTGTGAGTCGTACGCTGGACTTATCGCATGTCGTGCCGTCCTTGGAGCCCTCGAAGGTGGTCTCATGCCCGGCATCACGTACTACCTCGGCTGCTACTACCGCCGTCACGAACTCTTCTTCCGCGTCGGTGTCTTCATCTCCTCCGCTTCCCTCTCCGGTGCGTTCGGTGGTCTGCTCGCGTCCGGATTAGTCCACGTACCAACTTTTGGACCCGTGCATACTTGGAGGAATATCTTCTTCTTCGAGGGGATTATCACGATTGTGGTTGGTGCTATGGCATGGATCTGGTTACCGGAGTTGCCGGAGAAGACGAAGTGGCTCGCCGTCGAGGAACGCGAATTAGCCCAGCGCCGTATCGCCGTCGATAATATGTCTTCTTCGACTACCACGACCGACGAGGATGGCGAGCAACACGTCACGGTTTGGAGCTGTGTCTTCAACTCTCACACCTGGTTGTGCGCACTCGCATACTTCCTCACCGCAATCACCATCAACTCTTTCTCGCTATTCATCCCCTCTATTCTCCGCTCGATGGGATATACCGCCGAACGCGCTCAACTCATGACCGTCGGCCCTTATGCGCTCGCCTGTGTCTGGTCCGTCGCTCTTGCGTATTTCTCCGATAAGACCCGGAAGCGTGGATTGTGGATCTTGATCTCGATGCCATTCATCGTAATCGGCTACGCACTCCTCGTCTCCGTCCCAACAAGCCGTACCTCAATCCGCTACCTCGCTGTCTTCTTCGCCGCATTCGGTGCCTTTCCCCTCGGTCCAGCCTTCCTCTCCTGGGCTTCCAACAATGTCCGTGGACGGACTCAGCGCGCGACGGCGACGGCATTGGTTACGACGTTTGGTAACATTGGAGCGATTGTTGCTACGTGGTGTTATTTGCCGGGTGATGCGCCGGCGTACAGGAAGGGACATGGGATCAATTTGGGGGTTGCGGCGGCGAATATTTTGGTTGTTGCGTTTACGGTTGGGGTCGTGAAGATGAAGAACAGGAGGAGGGCTGGGAAGGAGGAGTCGTTTAGGTTGATGGAGTAGGCAGACGAACGGAGTGAGTCTGTCGACTTGATGTGAGTTGGATGAAGCGATGATTGTGTTTTGTTTGTGCTTTTTGGGTTTTACAATTTGGCTATTGGCTTTATTGGGCGTTCCAGGCGTTTTTCTATCACAAAGAGGAATCTCAACATCCTCGTGAGGGAAAACCACGACACAGCGAGGATTTATATTGCATAAAAAGTCAAGGGATGAGCAAAGGACGAAGGGTTTTCGGGCGTTTTTCTTGGGATCATTGGCATCTTTTAACAGATGGAGAAGCGCTCTTTTGTTACGCAGATGAAAGTTAGTGAGCGATAATATTAGGAAGAAGAAGATGATGGTTACCTTTACGAAGTGTCCGTTACCTCCTTGACTTGTCCTCTGGGGATCACGGCTCCTACGGTGTCTTCCCTGCGCGTCCTTGCCTTAGTCAATCGATGACTCGATAATGCTTACCCCACGTTCTGGCCGCGTACCGGTACGGTCTGAGCATGTAACCCACAACGCTCCCATACCCCAGCTGTCATAGCAGCATATACTCAGACATGAGTCCATCCAGTCCCACGAGGACGAAGTCGAAGCCGGCGACGCTGTCTGCATTCGCAGCGGAGATCAGCGGAACACCAGCAGCCTTGGCTAAGAAGGGTACGGTGGCGGGGATCGAGTTACCAGACTTGGACGCACTTGATCTCGGATTGAAAGATGACGGTGAAGGTGAGGGTGCAGATGACGGTTTATCATTACGAGAGCGATTACTCTGCGACATTCCAGACGAGGCGGAGAGGGAGGCAAAAGCCCTCGGACCCCTACGGCGGATGATCGGGGAGAGAATGGAGGAGGGACATGGCGAGGCTGTCTTTGAAGTCGGGTGCGATGACCGAGATTCAGGGAAGACTTTTGGGTTTTCGAGGGAGGAGTATGAGAAGGCGGTTGAGACGCTGCGGCGGGTGTGTGAGGGGATGGAGCCGCCGTGTATATTCTCTGAACTTTCGACGAGGAATTTAGGGAGAGAGGGTGAGCCGACGGGAGATGGGAATGGGTGTTCGAGTAGGGTTATGATTCGACGGACGAGTGCGGCGGCTACGGATACGCTTGAGGTGAGGGTCGCTGTTGTGGGGAATGTGGATGCGGGGAAGAGTACCATGCTTGGTGTCCTAACGAAAGGTGCTCTTGATGATGGGCGCGGAAGAGCGAGAATAGCGCTTTTCAGGCATAAACATGAGGCAGAATCGGGACGGACCTCGGCTGTTGGGAATGAGATATTGGGGTTTACGCCGATGTCACAGTCGATCCTCCCGACTGGTGCGGTGCATAAGTTGACGTGGGAGGATATCGCAGCGAAAGCTGCAAAGGTGATTTCATTCATTGACTTGGCCGGCCATGAGAAGTACTTGAAAACGACGGTGTTCGGGATGGTCGGTCATTTACCCGACTACTGCATGCTTATGGTCGGTGCGAACGCCGGACTCGTCGGGATGAGTAAAGAGCATCTCGGAATCGCGTTAGCTCTCAACGTCCCCGTTTTTGTCGTCATCACCAAGATCGACATGTGTCCTGCTCCGGTCCTCCAAGCGACGATCACCCAACTCACCAAAATCCTCAAAAGTCCTGGTGTGCGCAAGATGCCGCTGTTCATCGGGAGTATGGACGAAGCCGTCACGAGCGGGATGCACTTCTCTGCGTCGCAGCGCGTTTGCCCTATATTTCAAGTCTCGAACGTCACGGGACAGGGCTTGGATTTCGTTCGCTCTTTTCTCAATATCCTTCCCGTCCCGACTCTGACGCACGGCGCAGACGAACCTGTTCTATTCCGCGTAAGCGATACTTTTTCTGTCCCATTCGTTGGCGCGGTCGTCTCTGGCGTCATCGAGCGTGGTACGGTACGGGCGGGGGATACACTTCTTCTAGGACCAGACGCGACGGATGGATTCGTGAGCGTGGGTGTCAGAACTATCCAGCGAAAGAGGGTGAACGTGCCCTTCGCTACCCCAGGACAGAGTGTCTCCTTTGCTTTGAAACGCCTACGGCGAAAAGATATCCGAAAAGGCCAAGTCCTCCTCTCAATCCCCGAACCTCCCACACCCCACCCGCACGCCATCTACGAATTCGTCGCAGAAGTGCTGGTCCTCTACCACGCAACCACCCTAAAACCAAACTACCAAGCCATGGTCCATATCGGCTCGATCACGCAGACTGCACAGGTCGTGGAGATTTTGGATCGGGAGGAGGGGGAGAAGATATTGAGGACGGGGGATCGGGGAAGGATCAGGTTTCGGTTTATTCGGCGGGGGGAGTTTTTGGTTGGGGGGGAGAAGGTGTTGTTTAGGGAGGGGAGGACGAAGGGGTTGGGGAGGGTGGTGGAGGTTGGGCCGCAGTAGGTTCCGCCGTGGAGGATCCCGTGATATTGGATAGGATGGAACATAGCTTTTTTGGATGGTATGGAATGGAATGCGGATCGGAAAAGGGGTGTACCACTGCTTTTAGGATTATTGATTCCCTAGGTCATGAAGGCAGGAATGGACTGGTTTCGCGTGTGTGAACTTTGGTCGCCATTGCGAGTCTACATATGCTCAATGCTACCACGACGAGAAATCCCCAAACCCACCTGCTTTCCGCTTCTTCTTCGCCGGCTCCTGAGTCTCTCCCTCACTCGAGCCCTCCTGTTGCCGTTGCTGCTTCAACGCCTCCGCCAAATACTTCCCAACACCAGCTCCCGGTGCCTCAATCTTCTTTGCCCCAGCGCCAGCAACACTCCTCCCTGTCCAAGTCTTCACATCATCCTCCTTTACAACCTTCGCCTCCTCGGCTTCCCTCTGCTCTTTTTCCTCCCGCTCAAGTCGCTCCTTATGGAATTCCTCAAACGGATCAATATAAACAACAACATCAACCATCTTCACCTCCCGCACGGGTCGATCACCAGAATCGACCGGAACCCGCTCTAAAGCGTCAAGAACCTCCATCCCACCCACCACGCGGCCAAAGATGGTATGCTTGTTGTCGAGATGCGAGGCAGGCCCGTACGTGATGAAAAATTGTGACGAATTCGTGTTTTTACCGCGGTTTGCCATTGATAGCGTTCCGCGTTCGTCGTGGCGCCGTGGGCCGCCCAATTCGTCCGCGAAATCTTTTCCCCAGAAGCTCTTTCCACCCCGACCCGTACCCGTAGGATCTCCGCCCTGAATCATGAAGCCCGGAATATTCCGGTGGAATACGACACCATTATACTTTCCCCCCTTACTCAACTGCACGAAATTATACACAGCCTTAGGAGCGTGCGTGGGGTCCAGTTCGATGTTGAGTGAGCCGTGGGATGTTTGGATCCGTGCGTAGCCTTTGTGTTTGACGCGTTTTGGTACCAGCAGATAGTCCTCTTCTGAGAGGATTGCGAGGTTAGTGCTTGTTTGGGGGGTTATGGAGGTGGAGGTTAGGGAGGCGGCTGTCATTCCTGTTGTGTAGATTGCGGCGTTGTAGGGTTTGGGAGGTGGGTTGTGGAGGGCTGGGTTGGTGCTTAGGTTGGAGGATTTTGAGCGGAAGTTTGCGACGGCTTGTCGTGCTTTGAGGATCTTTGCTGCTGAGCCTGTTGCGGCCGTATTGATCCCACTCAACAAATCCTTTGCTTCTTCGTCTTTTGCGTCCTGTGCTGGTGTCGACTTCCCTTCTTGCAGGTATTTGAATGTCGACATATCCCTCTGCTGCAGATTATGTGGATCCTGGATCGTGACGATATCTTTCTTTGTGAACACCTCGTCCGTTACGAGATCATGCCAGTTCTTCTGTTTGACGTTCAGTCGCTGTATTGTGTCGTACGCAAACACGTTCCCACTCGTCTTGATCGCGACGAGGTGGGTGTTGTCGGTAAACACCTTGAACGTAACCGGATCACAATTCTCACCAGCCTCATTCTTGCCAAACGTCAACTTGATCAAATCTTTAGCCTCCAACTTCTCCCCCGTCACGGGGTTCGTGCCGTGTTTCTTGAGCCAAGGGACGATGTGTCGGATATCGAAGATCGTGCCGTCGGATGCCATGACGGGGTGCTCGAATGGTTGGAGGGAGAGTGCGCAATAGTTGTATGGTAGCCTCTTGAATGTTTGGGCTTGTTTGCGGGCGGTTACACCGCCGGAGGCGGAGTGGTCTCCCGACATCCATTCTGATGCGGTGACGTAGAGTTTGTCGGTGTTCTTGCCCATTGTCGCAGGCGATCGAGCTCGAGGGTGCGATGGGAATCAGTTAAGAGTCGTACAAGGAGTTCTCAGGGTACCAAATTACCGGGTTTTGGACTTTTGCGTTCTGATCTCCTCGAGGGTATACGGTGCCTGTGCTACTTCTGCCTCGCCCCTGTCCCGAAGTGTACGCCGCCTAACTTTATATCGGACAGCCCTGGTCCAACGACCCGACATATCCTTTTCGATCCCCGATCCCCAAGCCTTGGTTTACACCTTCCAGCAAATCTCCAGTATGTCCGGATCAACAGAAAAGACTGGTTTCCCCATCGGCTCCCGCCGCTCCAAGCTCGCGCTGGTACAAACCGAGCTGGTCCAGTCCTCACTCCAAGCTCTCCACCCAGACCTCTCCTTCCCAATCTCCGCAATGCAGACAATGGGCGACAAAAACCAAATCCAATCCCTCTACAACATGGGAAAATCTCTCTGGACAAAAGAACTCGAAGTAGTACTCTTCGAGGGCGACGTCGATTTGATCGTACACTCGTTGAAGGATATGCCGACGACTTTGCCTGAGGGTGCGCGGTTGGGTGCGATCCTGGAGAGGGAGGATCCGAGGGATGCGTTGGTTATGCGGGCTGGCTCGGCGTACGAGACACTGGACGACTTACCCGAGGGCGCGATCGTGGGTACGTCGAGTGTGCGGCGAACGGCACAACTCAAACGCAAATACCCGCACCTCCAATTCGCAGATGTCCGTGGCAACGTCCTCACCCGCCTCGAAAAACTGGACGGAACCTTCTCTGTACCACCTCCCTCCCTAGCCTCCTCGTCTGAGTCCCCTATCGTGATTCCTGAATACTCGTGTCTCATCCTCGCCGCGGCGGGACTCATCCGTCTCGGACTCGGTGGTCGGATTACTGGATACCTCGAGGCGCCGACGTTGTTGCATGCCGTAGGTCAAGGTGCCCTCGGTATCGAAATCCGGGAAAATGACGAAAAGACCGCCCAGTTGCTCGCCCCACTCGTCCACCGCCCTACATGGCTGAGATGTCTCGCTGAACGCGCACTCATGCGAACCCTCGAAGGCGGATGCTCCGTCCCGATTGGTGTCCAGACATCTCTCTCCCCCCAGAATTTATTGGAGATGCACGCTTGTGTTGTGAGCGTTGACGGCACAGAGTATGTCGAGGCAAAGGAGACAATGCGTGTGGAGAGTGACGAGGAAGCGGAGGAACTTGGGAAGTTGGTTGCGATGAGGTTGGTTGAGGGTGGGGCGGGGGCGGTGTTGGAGAGGATTAATGAGGTTAGGGAGAGGCATCAGGATTGAGCTGGAGGGAATGGGATAAGATAGAGGGGCTTTTTGGCTGGGGCACATTATAGGAAGACAAAATGACATACATCCACAAACCATAGGACCTTTGTAGATCTTGGAGGTCATGGTAAAGGTTGTTTTCCACAGTCGTCGGATATTCTTGCAGTTCCCGGCAAAGCGGGCGCGCATCTCGGAACCCCGCGGCACGCCCCGCAATCCCCCAAACCTAACCTCCGAGGATCCTCTCCTCGCTCCTCGCTCACCCAATTGCGATTGCGATTGATCCACTCCATAGCTAGCGATGATACGATCACATCTCTTCCGCCTGCCTTCCCGCCGAATCGCCGTGATTTCTTTGGCTAGGCGTTTCAATGCGCATGCCGCCGTATCACCGAAGAAACCAGACACAGCACCCCTCTCCCACATCCGCGTCCTCGACTTAACCCGTGTCCTCGCCGGCCCATACTGTACCATGCTCCTCGCCGACCTCGGCGCAGAAGTGATCAAGATCGAGCATCCGGTGAGGGGGGACGATACCCGGGCTTGGGGACCACCGTTCGCTGCCCCATTGCCGGAGGTGGAGCAAGCATTGGAGGAAGGGTACCATGGCGAGAGCGCGTACTTCCTGAGCGTGAATCGGAATAAGAAGTCTTTGGCCCTCAGCTTCCAAAATGAGGGGGGACGCCGGGCGTTGAGGAGGTTAGCCGCGGAGTGTGATGTGTTGGTTGAAAATTACTTACCTGGGACGTTGGCGAGGTATGGATTGGGGTACGACGATCTGAGAAAGATTAATCCAAGGTTGATTTATGCTTCGATTACGGGGTATGGTCAGAGTGGACCATATTCGAGTCGGGCTGGGTATGATGTTATGGTTGAGGCGGAGATGGGGTTGATGCATATCACGGGTGAACAGGACTCCTCACCCGTTAAGGTCGGAGTGGCCGTCACTGACCTCACCACGGGGCTTTATGCGCAGTCTGCGATTTTGGCGTCGCTGTATGGGCAGGAGAGGAGAGGGGGTAGGGGTGAGTGGTTGGATTTGGCGTTGAGTGATTGTCAGGTTGCGACGTTAACAAATATTGCGTCGAGTGCGTTGATTAGTGGGATGGGTGGGAAGGGGGAGATGAAGGATAGTGGACGGTGGGGGACTGCGCACCCTAGTATTGTTCCGTATCGCGGTTTCGAGACCATGGATGGGTATATGATGATCGGTGGCGCAAACGACAATCTTTTCGGGAAACTTTGTCGTGTCCTTGGAACAGAAGAATGGATCACAGACCCACGCTTCGTCACAAACCGCGACCGCGTCAAGAACCGTGATCTGTTGGAAGAGTTAATCGAAACTCGCCTGAAAACCCAACCAACGAAATACTGGACAGACGCCCTCGAAGGAACCGGGATGGCGTATGCCATCGTCAACAACATCCCGCAAACGCTGTCGCACCCGCACGTCCTCGCACGCTCCATGATCCAAGAAACCCCTTCCCATCCCATCTGCGGTCCCCTCCCCGTTCTCGGACCTGCGGTCAAGTATAGCGAGAGCACGGTCGGGGTACGCATGCCGCCGCCGGTGCTGGGACAGCATTCGCGGGAGGTGTTGATGGGGCTGTGTGGGATGAGTCAGGAGGAGGTTCAAAAGGGGGTGGAGGAGGGGTGGGTGAGATGTTGGGATGGGGTGCATGCTGGAGAGCAGGATGATGGGAATGGGAATGGGAGTAGAGTTAAGTTGGTGGAGTAGAGTGATGGGTTGGGAGCGGATACCTGTATACCCGGATGAGGATGACTTTACTACCAAGATTCGTTGTCGTGATATACATTATCGCAGTACTACTTCGCAGCCGCATGATCTCACCTCTTACTGATGACTTTTTGCAGCCTGGCCTAAATAGCAACACAAAATTATGACCCTGCACAAGCCAGATAGGTATTACCAGTGTGTTCTGTCCGCACAGGCTCATGTATACGGTGCACACACTGCACGGCCGATAGTCCAGCGTGGGAAAGAAGACACAAGATTTGCACGGCACGCTTTAAAACCTCTGTTCTTAATTGACCTAGGTTCTAAGGTCTCTGAGCACTGATATGACTCATCCCTTCCTCGCTCTACTACTTTGTCTGCGGTGCTTCCGCCTTCACCCATCCCCAATGCCCAACCTGTTTGACAAGGATCACTCCGTTCTTCTTTGGCCACCACCATTTCATTCCCAAACAATCCCTCCCGAACCCAACTCCATAAAGAAACCCTATGTACCTCATGAACCCTAAATCAACCTCATCCAATTCCACATCTGTATCTCCGAGCTCAAGGTTCATGATTGAGGCCCACTGCCAGACAAGGTGCACTTTGAGCTCGTCGGGGAGTGAGGGATCCAAGCAAGCTGGAAGAGGGGTAGTAGAGGTTGTGGGTGGATGGTCGTCGGAGGGGAAGACAGTACGGAGGGTGGTCAGCCGCTGCATCCAGTTCTTCGTCGTTCGATTGATAATGTCAAACTCCACAGGTTTAGTGCTCTCCTTCCCCCTTCGCTCTCCTCTCAGAACCTTTTTCCATCGCTGACTACATCCCACCATCTCGATGACATCAACACCAGCGAATGGCTTCGGCAACATCACGTTCGGCGTGCGGATCATGCGCAATACATGACACCGCGTGATAGCTTTCATGTCATGGCAGGTTTGGTGGAGGTCGTAAATGGAGTAATGGTCCAGATGGCTGAAGATCATGCCATGGAGCTCGGATGGGAGGGCGATGAGCGGGTTGGAGAGGTTCTTATCGACAGCTGGGGAGAAAAGCTCGGGAACGGTGTTGCAGTCGATGACAGCTTCGGTGTACAGGCGGAGAGCTGGAAGCGAAATGCTCTTCTCGAGGTGATGAAATGACTCCTGCGGCGGGACGGCATCGGCGCTGGAAGACTTCCAAATCATGCGAGACTTGCAGGCGGCGATCTTGCGCTCGTTCGTGAAAGACATATGGATATTGTTTGAGAGTATGGCGAAGGTAGGAAAGTATGAAGTTGAAGATCGTAGAGAAGGTGTTCACGGTTCTTGAGATGGTTGGTAAGTGGAAGAAAGGTCATGGCCGTTCGAAGGGTTTATGTAGCACCTTAGTTTGGATCGGTGCCTAGCGGGTATGTCACTCAAGATTTCCTGATGCGGCAGTCCTAGTCAGAACTCGTGCCTAAACTCACATACGCAGAATATGTCATATTGCTTAACAGATCGATCGTTTGGGCCTCATCATGGAGATCCAAAATCATACTCCTACACCTCCCTCGCCGTTCCAGAAACGTGTACGGGCCCCTGGATCAAAGCTCCTTCTTCGCCTCCTCCTCCTCCCTCGCCTGCTTCGCCAACAACTCACGCCTTCGCTTCTTCGTCTGCGCATTAATATACGTCCCCAATAAGAAGCTGACGAGGTTGAACCACGGAACCCAGAGCTCGTTCCGCAGGTACTTCTGCGCGAAGAGAATGGAGAGGGGGGAGGTGAGCCAGGTGACTCTCATGACCTATTACACAAACCAGTCAACATTAATTATGAAAAGTAAAGACAAAGTCTTTGGAGGGTCAGGGAGGTGGAGGGACGTACCGGCATAAACCCCTGCCTCCACGTAGCAATAACCTGCTCCACATTCCTCGCCCCAGCAATAATCGCCATACAACACAGATAGACACTGTTCTGCACCGGACTAACCAACAAATTACTCGCCAAAATCTGCAACGCCTTCCACTTCGCCCCTTCCTTCCCTCTAAACGCGCGCTGCAACAACCCGACCAGAATATGTCCCATAGGCGCCGACACACAGCCGCCGTAGATCATCATCTTGTAGACACGGGTAGAGAAGTAAGAACCCGTGACGGGATCCTTCTCGCCGGCGAGGTAGGAGGCGAGGAGTTCTTGAAGGGAGGAAAGGGTTGCCGAGGTTGCCATTTTTGTCTGGAGGGGGTTCGTTGCGAGGGAGTTTAGGTAGGCGGCAAGGTAGGGATTCACGTCGGCAGGCTTGGAGACGGACATCTTGAGTTGCTTTCTTGAGTACGAGGCGAAGGAGAAGGTCGAGATCAATGGGGATCGATGTCCAGGTCTGTGCGGTTGTTGCTACTATTAATAGTCATCGGGGTGCGTTTGAGTACCCCGCACCGATGTCGACCGAAGGCCGTCGGTTAGGTCTATCCGCCTCATGTGACTTGAAGATGGACGAGCGATGGTGGAGAAGGCAATTGCAGCTATTTGAAAAAACGATCTTATTAATCCTATAAGAGAAATACCTAAGATCAGAAGAAAGACAGAAACAGCCTCGGGCTGCTGACTGAGTACTGAGTAAGAGAAGGGCCATAAACGTAAACGAAAACTCCACAATCGCAATCCAATCCAAAAGACACACTTTCACGAAAACGATAACCAGTATCACACATGCTTTCATCCTCCTCCTTCCACGTTCCCCCTTAGATCTTCAGCCCCTTCCCCTCCAGATCATAACTCTCAACCATTTTCTTCACCCTCCCAACCTGTCCTCCCAATCCTTGGAAGAATTTGTACCCCTCCTCCGCCCCCTTCAACACACTCTCCCACTTCTCCTTCTCTCCCGCACTCTTCTCCACAGCCTTCGCAAACATTCCCCTCAACTCTTCTTCAGGCATACTCAACACCTTCCTGGACTCTTTGACAATACGGTCAGAAGTAGCGTAAACATACTCACCCTCGGCCAACGAACGCCTCATCTTGCGAGCGAGGTTGAAGGGTACAGCGCGTTGCACGTCCTTCACGATGAAAAACGCCGTAGATCCAATAGCAAAGACGACGACCCAAGGGGCCATACGTCTTACATCCCTCAAACTTGCAAAACTGCTCGCTTTCCACGCCGCGTCCGTAAGCGTCTTCAACCCAACATACTTTCCAACAACGACAGCCACAGAACTCAAGCCCAATGAAGCAGTCGTGTACTTCTCCTGAACCTCCCAATCCACAAAGTCAGACCACTCAAATCCAACAGACCCCTGTACACGTTCCTTGACCGTCGGATGCGGCTTCTTTTTCGGCATGAACATCGCTTCAGGTCGGAAGATTGTACGTTTCGCTGCTGCGCCGTATTCGGTTCCGAGGTGGGTGTTGCCGAGTTGTACAATGAATTCGATTCCGGCTGCGCATTGACCGCGGGCGAAATCTTCACAGAAACCTTCCTCGCGCTGGAGACATGCGCACATCTCGTCGCGGGTACGGTACCAGTAACTGAAGATACTCCACAAACCTTCGTAGTCCGCAACGACGGTATCCAACGTATTCAGCGCAGAAGACAAAGCCTTCTTCGTGTACAAAGCGACCGAGTTGAGGACCTCCTCCTGGTTATGCTCGATCTCCTCAGCAACCTCCCTCTTGACCTTCCTAATCTTCTCATACGCAGGACGGATAGCATCCAACTCCTTCTTCGCCTTCGATAACTCGTTCTGGTTCTTGCTAATGTTCGCCTCTGCTAACATCGCGACATCATGACTCAGATTCAGAAGATACGTCTTGGCGGGAGCCAACTTCGACTTCGCCCTCTTCTCCAAAACGAACTGCCTCAAACTCCTTTCAAGGTGCTCAAAATCCCTCAACTTCTCGCCGCCTTCACCAGTGTTGACCGATCCGGCCGACACGAAATGGACCAACTCGTCCGCATCGGCACGCGTCCTCGGGGAGAGACTGCTGAGCTGATCCAAGATCATGCGCTTACACCTTGCCTTATCGCGGATATTGTCGAAACGGTTCACGACGATGAAGATGTATGCCTTTTCATGGGCAGCATTCCAGATGAATTCCTTGGCAGAAAGAGTGAAGTGGTTCTCCGCGCTCACGACAAAGACGACGACGTCGATCTCCTCCTGGCGCGCGAAAAGTGCGTGCGTAGAGATAGAGTCGATGTTCAACCCGGGTGCATCAATGAGTGCGATGTCAACGACACCGTTACGGAGGAGAGATTTATCGATTGTACGCCCATCATCGACGTAAACCTTGAGTTGGGAGTATTTCGGCGTCTCGTCCATAGCCAAGTCCTCAAGTTCCTTCAACGCGTGAACTGCATACGTACGCTCATCATGGCGATCGTAAGTCGTTCCGAAAAGGACTCCGTGAACTTCCTCGACACCAGCGTTCTCCCTCGCATCCAATACCTCGCAAAAGGTGTTCGTACACGGCTGTTGGTCCTCGGGCAAGACATGTCTCCTCAGCAAGGCATTCACGAGTGTCGACTTTCCTGCATTCAGGTCACCGGTGACCAGGACCTTACTCGCTGTGTCTTCGATACGAGCAGCGAGGTTAGAGATATGGTGTGTTGATTTATGAAGGAGGGAGGAAAGAAGTTGAGAGAGAGCCTTGGAGTCGAGAGATTCGGAAAGATCGTCGGAGTTCTTAGCGTGACCAAGCTTGAGGTCGAGCTTGAGGATCTGGAAGGTGTCGGAAAGGAGAGGGTGCGAGGCGATCTCGTCTGTACGGTTGGCGGGGATCGTTGTTTGCGAACGACGCGTCAAACTCGGACGCGGTGCCGTATGAATCTCCGAATCATCTGTTCCATAAGCAGACTGCGTATGAGCCACCGAGGGCCTCGCAGTAGCCTCCTCAGCCGTCGATGAATGCTTCGGCGCTGGATAATAAACCGGCGTCTTCTCGTTCCACTCCTTCAAGCTCTTCAAGAGACTCTTCATCTGCCCCAAACTCCTCAACAAACTCGAACGATTATCCGCATACAACAACGCCTGCTGATGCTGAAGCTGTAACCTACTAACTTGATCCTCCGCCAGATCATCCACACCCACGAAATCAGGAGATCCGTGACCAGGAGACGAGTTGCCACCAGCCACGGAACCGCCATAACCAGAGTCTGAAGCAACGTCGGATGTGATGAGGTTTGCGATGTCCATGGCGGACATGCTCGTATGAAATACGATGAGAGAGGGGTGGAAAAGGAGGGGTTGTTGGTTGTTGGTTGTCGGTGGAGTAATTATGTCGATTGGCGTGGTGGTAAGGTCTGTTGGACGTGGCGGTGCACATACACCTGCAAGTGGCTGGTGGACTGCGGTCACTGTACGTCGCATATCGATAACGACGGACGACGCAATAACAGAGAGAATACTATTGCGTAAAGGGTTAAGAAAAGCAATCAGGACATTTGTTGTTGTCTGGAAACTCGAACCTAGCTGCGAGATATCGGTTGAGCAAGACCATTGCGCGCCGAGATGAACATTATCGAGTGGGCCTTCGGGTATGTTTTGTTCTTCTCCCATTCCTGCTCCTAGAGCACAAATCCGTCTTGTAAGGAACTCGGTCGCTAACTCCTCTGACAGGCGCTCCAAGACTCCTGCGGAACGTCTCCGCGCCCATCAGCGCTCTCTTGAGAAGGCTCAACGTGAACTCGACCGCGAACGTACGAAGCTCGAACAGCAAGAAAAGAAGCTCCAGAATGACATCAAGAAAGCTGCAAAGGCTGGACAAATGGGCGCTTGTAAAATCATGGCCAAGGATCTTGTCCGGACGAGGCGTTACGTGCAGAAGTTCTATCAGATGAGGACACAATTGCAGGCCGTGAGTTTGAGGATACAGGTTCGTCATCAGTATCAGTATTTCATATTAAAAGTTTCTGACTCAGCTTGAACAGACTGTAAGATCGAATGAAGCGATGACCACCTCCCTCCGCGGCGCAACAAAACTCATGTCCTCCATGAACCGCCAAATGAACCTCCCCGCCCTCCAACGTATCACAATGGAATTTGAACGCGAAAACGACATCATGGATCAACGACAAGAAATGATGGAAGAAGCGATTGATGATACCTTTGAGGATGACGAAGAGGAGACGGATGAGATTGTTGGGGCGGTATTAGATGAGCTTGGTATTGAGCTTGGGCAGCAGTTGGGTGCGACGCCTACGGGTGCTATTGGTGGGAAGGTTGATGCTGGGAAGGGGAGGGTTGCGGTGGCGGAGGGCGGGGGCGGTATGGGTGGTGGTGGAGGGGGCAACGAGGACGATGATTTGCAGGCGAGGCTTGATAACCTTAGGAAGTGAGTGTACGATACTATCATTATGAGCGGGGCTTTGCTCAGGACTTGAGATCAAGGATACGATGTTATACAATGCACGGTGGCCATTACATATGTACCGTTGCCGTATTCTTTTGCAAGATATGATCCGTATACCAGTCGTTTCACATACAAGCGCATGAACAATACCGTGTAAATGGTCCTACCATGTTTGAAGTGTTTGGAGAACGCCTTCATGGGGATCCATACGATACGGTTGATATTGAGGATCGAACCGTGGGAACAAGACCTTCTGGGTTACCGGATGTGGACACACAACGAAACGACCCTGTGGAAGAACTGGAACGCAGCGTCAAGAACTAGCAAAATGATAACCCACAACCACAACCACGATCACATTATAGCATCCAACACGGACAAACCTGGAATCTTCTTCCTCCACACCGCCAACCGCCTGCCTGGGAATGGTGGATGAACGTACCTGGGAGAGGAATAAGAAAAGATATTCTATCCTCTCCTATCCTCTCCTGCTTAATGGCAGGAGATATATCTTATTATTCTCTTCATGTTGCGAGCTCGAGAGGAGACAGAAGCGCCTTGCAACCAGTGTATGGCACACACAACTCACAAGACAAGATGATTTATGGCTTTGGAGGCATGAACAGGTAGGGTATGAATATGCGGTTTGCTCATACATACCACCATAGAAGTACGTCCTCCGACCTCTCACGCAAAATCCCCCGCATCAATCAAAAAAACACCTTGGACGCCTGCATCCATCCTCCTCCAATTCTCAGCACCAAGTTCCCCATACTTCACCAACTCCGCAGCGAACCCCTGCCACAACCTCCCCACATGCGTCTGACTCTTATGGAAATACACAATCTCATCCAAAAGACACTGTCGAATCAACACGCGACGAGTCATCAGTTGCGCAATGGTCGCTTTATCCTGGATAATCCCCTGCCCCAACTTCGTAATCTCCCCCTCCTTCCCCTCTTTGAGTCTCAAATTGGCGATCTTCCCCTCAGACGTCCGGATCCTCTTTTCGAGTTTCGCGACATCATCTCCACTCCCCTTCTCCCACCTCTCAAACATCTCTCTCATTCCCACAACTTTATCCCTCTGCCTTTTCAAATCCTCCAGGACGCCGTCATCCCACGCCCGACTCTCATCCTCCAACAACCCCTGCGCATGTTGGAGGTGCTTGCTCACCAAGGATAAACCCGTATTGGTCGTGGGACAGGCTTGGCAGTTCGGAGTGGGGCAAATGGAGGCGGACGAATCATCCACGAGTGCGCCGAGGGAGAGCGACACCCGAAACAAATCCATCGCAAACCCCTCTTGCCTCCTCGCCAACCTCTCCAGCAACGCACACATCCCAATCCAAGTTTGCCCCTGCACTTTGAGCGCAGTCCTCACCCTCTCCACAACCTCATCCAAATTCGCCGGCGAGCCCTCTGCCAACCCCTCCGGAATCGTATCAATCCCCTCGAATTCCTCTTGTACAGTGACGGAAGCTTGTTTTCGCCATACCCCAATCTCAACCGGCACGCTCAGAAACACACCGACCAACACATCTCTCCCAAGAACCGGATGTCCCACAACCCCCTCCAAAAACCTCTTCAAACCCCTCCGTCGCCTCTCCAGAAATGCAGCGTCAGCACTCAAGTAATGACCATTCACAGCGAGACGCTTGGGTGGCATGAGGGGGATGAGACGGAAGGGGTAGCGACGGGTGAGGGTGGAGAGGAGCCAGGTGAAGTCGGAGTAACGGCGGGTTACGGTCGTGGCGGGTTGGTTGCGGGGATGGTGCGTGATGGTGTAATTCACGTGTTTGAAGAGCGGTAATCCCTCTTTCTCCGGGACGGTCTGGATCTGAATCGACGGAGTGGTGTCGTGCGTCGATGTCCATGTGGAAGCCGCAATTGGAGGCGGCGGAGGTGCTGCGTGCGTGGTGGTGTGGTGCGTAGACAGGATTGCGCCAGGGCTATTCCCTCCCCATGGATCCGCCTCACCATGCTCCTCCTCCCTAGGCTGACTCAACGGTCTCACGAAATGCTGAGACTCGCTCGACGTCAGCGGCGGAGCCTGTAAAATTGCTGGAGCCACGGGCGGGACGAGGGGGTCGTTGGGGAGTGATGAGGAGAAGGGGTTGTGTTCGGGGTTATCGATCGGCGCTGGAGTTCGCGGAGGTCGGGCGCTGGTGGGTCGGTCTGGGATGAGTGTTGCTGATACTCCTGTTTCGGGGATTGGTTTGGCCTCTGGCTCGGGTGGTGTGGGCTTCAGTAAGTCGAGTTTAGGAATGGGAAGATCTGTACCGCCCTTCATCAATACCTTCGTCAGGAGCGAAGTCTTACAAAGGAGGCGGTACCTTTTCGTCTCTCATGAACCCCATCCAAAGTGACATCCTCGCCCTCCTGCGCTAACCCCACCAGCGCCATCGCGACCACGAACTCACCCCTTCCGATCTCGCCGTCATCGGGAAGGACGAGCGTAAGAAGTTTGTTGAGGACGTGCGGGGCGAGGTGTGAGGAGTCGAGGATGGTGCGGAGGGAGGACAGGGGGAGGATGCCCGACGGGCGGGGGTTGGCGGCGACATAAGCCTGCTCGTAGATGTCCGGCAACGTCACTCCATCTGGGAACGATTAGCGATTGCGATACGCGGCTGGAGATGGGGAGACGGACCTAGCAGAGAGCCGACATGGCGCCTCTTCCGACTCTTCGGCACGGGCAGGCCCCAGGGGTCGTGCTCGTCGGCGGAGGAGCCAAAGAGGGAGCTGGGAGCGCGGTGGCCGTCGTCGTCGCCGAAGAGAGCAGACGTCATCGATCGAGTGGTGGTGGATGGATTGATCGAGTGGGCGTGCTGGTGATGCGTGGGGCAGGCACGGTGCCTGGCTTTGCGTCATACCCTGCTGGTCCACCCCTGTTAGAGGGAACGTGTGTTCTCCTTGCTCCTCTCGCCTCTCTTCTCCTCTACGACAAGGATCGTATCCGCTTCGTTGCGTTAGACGACGCGCAACTGTTGAGCAGGCCTCACCGGTGTGTGGTTACTAATAGCATATATCCCGTACAGACCCTCGTGAGTCCTCGATCCATCTTTGATTCGTTCGAGATGTGATCATTGTGAGCTAACTCGTGTATTTGGGATAGCATACATCCCTCCCGCAACACCTCAATCATCCCAACAACAAGAGTTTGTCAAGATGTCCATGATACCCGTCCCCGTCCGCGAGTTGATGAACAACTGGTTCACTCGCACAAACGACACATCCAATTACCCCGGCTTCTCCTCCTCCTCCTCCTCCAACCTTCCTCCCGACACCATCCTCGGCGGTAAAGCCCCGCCCAAGAAATGGCACATTCCGGAGGACGTCATCTGGAATGCCACCCCCGGTCCACATGCGTTCTTGGTGAGGGGTGAAGGGATAAAGAAGGATCTCTATCCGTTTCGGGCTGTGGATGATGATCCCACCTACTCAGGTGATCCGGATCTCAGGGTGTGGAGGTTGGTGTTTGAATCCAATCGCATCCACATGCAAGACGCCAAAGACAAATTATCGGATTGCAGGAGGTTGGAGAGGTGTAAGCCCTTGATACCGACGCCTTTGAAATTGAGAAAGGGGAATCCGGCTATGGAGAGTGTTTTTGAGATTGGAGAGTTGTGGAGTATGATCACGGGGGATTTGACGAAGAAGGAGAAGAAGCAATTGAGTTTGATTTCCAGGTACTTCTATGAGAAGTTTGCGGTGGATGTTTGGGCGACGGTATCGGCACAGCGGATTCAGAAGATGACACCGGGCTGCGTGGAGCGCATTGGTCCCTTCGTGCGCGAACTCAGATGGGAAGAGAGTGGACTCAACATCACCCCGAAACCCGATGCTCTCTTCGAAATTGGACCACAAAGGCGCAAGATGGCATTCCCGAATTTGGAGACGGTTATCGGGATCAAATTCCGTCACGTCCATGTCCGCGCATTCCAGCAATGCTTTTTCGTCGATTCGCTACAAGAGTTGGATTTGAACATGCCCACGGTCGACCACCTCTTCCTCCGCTCCGTCGCCCAAAAACGAAACCTCCGGGTCCTGAAACTCGCTCAGGCACGTATGATGCCCGAATCAAACCACCAGATGAACGGAGAAACGTTCGAGATGTCCATGCTCGCCGTGCTTGGCGCGAATCAAGCGACGTTGGCGACATTTTGGACGGATGGGTGTTCGGGGCAGGATAGGTTGGTCAGTCCGCGCGTGCTAAGTTATATCTTGTTTGATCCCGAATGCCGGATTCGCGATTTCAAGTATATCGACCACAAAACCGCTGATTCGAAACCATTCAAAATCCGTCCCATCACGCGTCGTTGGATCCGTGACGCTGTCGCTGCCGGGGCTGAATGCCGTATCCATCGTCTCGCTCTCAAAATTAAGGCGGAGGCATTGGGAATGTTGGTGGGCGCGTGTAGGAATTTGGTAGAGTTGGAGATTAATTTGGGGGATGCGGAGAGTGGGAATGAGTGGAAGACGCGAAAGGGGGTCCAAGCTAGGATGAAGCAGAAGAAGGCGAGGCAGAGGGCGGAGAGGGAGGCGAGGGCGAATGGACTTTCTGAAGCTGAGGTGACGGCGGCGGTTGCGGCGGCGGGGGCGCCGTGGGATGAGTTAGGGAAGGAGATGGAGAGTGGGGACGAGGATGGGAGTATGACTGTGAAGGCGGAGGGGCAGATTATGGAGGGGATGGTTGGGGTTGCGCAGGTCGTTCCTGGACCGCCTGGGTCTGCGGCGGCGGAGAGGAAGGTGAAGAAGGAGGAGGCTGCCGTGGGACCTCGTGAGCCGGATGAGCAAGGTTCTGCGATCCTGGCTATTGAAGCCTTGTCGGCGCAGAAGAAGTTGAGGTTGGAGAGTTTGGAGATCAGCCACTTTACCGACGCACTTTCTGGAACTACGATTCAGAAACTTGCGGATGCGTTTGGTGGGACATTGAAGAGGTTCCACATCAAGAATGTTGGACTCAGGAACCGTGGTGTTGATATCAATGTCAACAAAGTTACCTGGACGGTTGAGGATATGGAGAATTTCTGCCGTGCGTGTCCCGAGTTGAGGGAGTTTGGTATCGCTGAGCATGGACCTGAGCCTGGGTGTCTCGCTGGTCATATCCTTGCTGCTGGACGCTACTGCCGTAAGTTGGAGTTCTTGAGGTTGAAGATGAAGAGGAAGATCGAGTTGTGGGGACAAACCGAGACAGAAAATTACACAGACTGGAACCCACTCAAGTTCCACTCAACTCGCGTCCCCGAAATCGAACGCCGCTACCTCTTCCCTTGTCTCAAGGCAATCGATTGGGGTATATCCGACGGTAACTACGAACATTCTCGTCCGCTTACGGAGAGGGAGTTTTATATGCGTGAGTGTCCGTTGTTGACGAAGCCGTTTCATTCGGTGCAGACGGTGCAGAATCATGAGAAGCAGAGGGGCATGGTTGAGGGGACTTATTGGAGGGAATTGTTGAGGAAGGAGGAGGAGAGGGAGGAGGCCGAGGCGGCCGAGGCGGCGCAGGCGGCGCATATGGCGCAGTAGGCGGCTGCGCAGACGGGGGTTCCAGTACCAGTTGTAGGTGAAGACATCTTCGGTTTGGGGGAGGAGGGAGGTAATAATGGTAACTTTGTGCGAGTGTGAAAGAAGACGGTGTTTCACTGGGTGTGAAGAAGTTGAAGGATTAGCAAGGAGCGGAAGAACGTGAAGGCCGCGATATGGTCCAGCCCGTGTGTTCTATGAATAGCATCAGTTTATCACAGCGTTGTTCGGCACGGCTCGAGAAAGAGATTGTGTGGAGTGTGGAGAAGATTCTTTAAGATATCATTGGTATGAATACAGGTTAAAAAGCACAATGATTGTCCACCGTTGCTGAGCTCGATCGTGAGGGACCGCTCAATCGGAGGTACGCGTACGCTTTCCCACGCTAGATCGAGAAGACTTCGTGGGATCCTTTACGGTAGATCGCTGGTTTCATGACGATATCCACGTAGTAATCTCATAAGCTCAAGAGGTGATTCGGATGATGTAAACGCTTTATCCCGCGCCCTCCAAGCTTACTCCTTTTTCCACAATCCAAACTCCCGTTCGTCAAGACCACCCTCAAGCATGGAAAAAGAAGTCAAAGCCCATATCGAGCATTCAGCGGCTTATGCAGCATCCGTGAAGCCCAAGTATCGGAGTAAAGTTCCAACCATGCCCACAGAGTATGGCAATGAACCCATGCCGCTGAGCTTGCGGTTGAAGAGAGCGCTAACAGCAACATCCCCATGGGTCCCGGAGTTAGACTGTGACCGTGTGGGTGAGAGACGTGAAAGGTGAGCACGTGCGCTGAGTTGATCGATTGCTGAACATGGTTGTTCTTTGCGAGGAGTTTTCGCACGTTCTGCGCACAATTAAGGTTCCCCTCTCGAGCTCACGTGACGATAAGGGGTGCAGGTGCCGCCGGATTTTTCGACGCTCGACAGCAGAGTACGCAAAAATCGAATAGTTGCAGGAAACGCTGGATATTCGATAGGAACAGTTGCAAGCAGTTTTTTTTTACTCGCCAGACTCGAAACCCTCGGAAGGATCAGTTTTAGTCGGTATACATAGAGCCTGCGCAGATCACCGAGCACGAAGCATCGAAACACATACAACCATTGACACTATGGCCTCAATCTCGCCTGCCTACCAGCTGTTGCAGCTTTCCACCGCTGCTATGAGTTCTCGATCGCTATACGCTTCGCCAGTTCTGATTGCCCCGCAAGATGCTTCTGCGCTCCCCAAACCTTATTACCGCGAACTAGCCCTCGCCATTGATGGAGAGGGTATCAACATCTACGATGTGCATACCCAACAGATGAACACTTCATACCCTCTGCCGCCATCGACGAAGTTCATCTCAGAGCCAGTTAGTTTGTTGACGAAGGCGACCAAGGCACGGTTGACGGCTGTTCTTACGAGCTCGACGACACTCCTTCACATTTCGCATGCGGACGCTGCTGAACCAGCAAAGATCACCACTCATACACTCTCCCAGCCTGCATCGGCAGTTCACTTCCTTTCCGGCTCCACCCTTGTCTTGACTCAGATTACTGGTGGAATGACCTGCCTCAACGCCGAGTCTCTGGAAGAACAATGGCAATGGCAACCTGAGAAGTCCGCTGGCAAGTGTCTCACTACTTTCGGCCCCTTCTCTATTTCTAAATCATACCTGCACACCACCCACGCAGTGAACGACCTCGCTATCCTTGCCATCTACTCCGGTAAACAGACCACTGCACAGGCCTTCTCGCTGAGTGCCGAACGTGCACCAGCTCTTTTGAAGGAGGAGAGATTGATTCCCAAGATTCCCGTCGGAAAGGCGAAGATTATCGGAAATGCTAAGGAAGGAGTGATCAGGACCGTTGTCGACAAGATGGTGAACACATACAAGCTTGCGGCGCCAGGACAGTCACATGGTCATTTTGTCTTGGAGAGTGTCGAGGGTGCTGTTCCGCTTTCCGCGTCCCATGTCATCCTCACTACAAAGCAGCAGGGCAAGAGTGTGGTTGGTGTGTACGACACTATGCACAAGGCTGCTTTGGCCGTTTCGGAGGGTATTGATGGCGATGTAAGATATTTGTGCACAATCCCAGCTGGAAACAAGTCACATGATGCGGTGGTTCTTTTCGTTCAGGAGGACAAGGTTTTGGCTATGGCTGTCTCATGGCCTCGGGAGTCGATGTTGGCGGATGTCTTGGGTAAGCCTTTGACTGCCGCTTTGGCTGTTGAGCAAATGCATGCTGTTCCGGGTGATGAGAGTGAGTACTTGGTGGAGGGTATCAACGCACCAAATGAGGAGGAAGAGGACGTCATTGAGGCATACTACACGCTTAAGCACCTCGCATCCGTTCCTGATGTGGAGACTTTCGATCACTGCTTCTCGCGGTTGGCGGGTGGACGGAAAAAGGCGGAGTTTGCTCAGAAGTTCATCAATGAAGTTCTGAGACTAATCTTCGTTGCCGAGGGTGAGGGGTTGACGATGAAGTTCTGGCCAAAAGCAACGATGGAGTGGATTCTGAGTCACGGTGCCTTGTTCGCGTCAGCATTGCCCGAGTCTGGACTCGTTGAGGCGATCTTGGCGGAATGGCAGAAGAAGGATGTCAACTCCGGTCTGAGAATGCTGGATATCGTTTTGCGCGTCGTCTCGAATGTGCAGGATTTGCCGCCGAGGGATCTCGTTGCCGCAACTTGCTGGTGTCTCCGTGAGGAGCGCACACTGTTGAAGAATTTGGAAGGTGGTACGCTTTCGCATGCTCAGAATGTCATGGACAAAATTCTGCATAAGACAGTGGGTGGCTTGGATGGATTTGCGCCGGCGATGGTTGTCAAGGAGCTCAAGAAGGAGAGAAGAGAAGATGTGGAGGCGCTCATTGGCTGGTGTACAGCTATGGCTGAGCAGAAGGGCCCGGGAGAGGAGAAGTGGTATGGCGTGGCTACCTGTGCGTTCGACGCCCTCGGTGCCGCATCCGTCGTCCTGAGTGGTGGTGAAGTCCAGGAGCACATCCCAAGATTGAAGAACATCGTCGAAGACACCGTCGAGGAACTCCAATCCCTTGTCGCGGCAATGGGACCCCTCGCTGACCTCGTCAGGCGTGGTACCCTTCTCGCTCAAGCCGAGGAATCCCAGCGTGATCTGACTGCTGCCAATGCAGGCGAGAAGTGGGCCCAGGAAGCTTCGAGACGGAGGAATCCTCAGCCTAAGGCGCTTGGTGGACGTGGTGAGGTTGTTGAGGCTCCGACTGCTGGTGAGTTGGCCTTGATGGGTGCTAGCAGGGGTAAGAAGATGAGCAAGAGGCAGAAGGGTCATGCTATCTCCATGCAAGTGGGAAGGTATACTGTGGAGAGGGTGGAGTTGTAGCTGAGAAACTACTGGCGTGGTGGCGACTAGGATTTAGATTAGAGCGCTTGCATTTGGAGCATATTGGTTCGGTATGGAATACATCATTTGATCCTTATAAACTCGACCAGGGCCAAGAATCTCCAGTTGATGCACTGAGGTAAACAAAAAATGAACGAGGAACAGAAAGTAAAAGGAGAAAACTTTTAGTCCTATAGTACAACGCTTAACAAGATCTTGAACGGAGAGTAGTCACTATCTTCCAAGCTTCTTCCAAAAAAAAACTCCGGCAACGCCTATCGTTTCCATAGAGGCCCTGCGAACAAAGCCAGTATTACTTACCCAGTTGCAACACTTACTCGACGATCTTGGTAACAAGACCAGTACCGACGGTCCTACCACCCTCACGAATAGTGAAACGCATACCCTCCTCAACAACGATAGAGTGAACAAGCTCACATTCCATCTCCAAGTTGTCTCCAGGCATGACCATCTTGGAGTCAGCCTCCTCGACACCAGGAAGGTGGGTCAAGATGATAGTGACATCAGCGGTACGGCAGAACATCTGGGGACGGTAGTAGTTGACGAAACCGGTGCGGCGACCACCCTCGTCCTTGTTGAGGATATAGAACTGAGCACGGAACCTCTTGTGGGTCTTGACGGTACCGGGGGCGGCGATGACCATACCACGCTTGAGCTGGTCACGCTTGATACCACGGAGGAGGAGACCACAGTTGTCACCACCCTGGGCCTGGTCGAGATCCTTCTTGAAGGCCTCGATACCGGTGATAGTGGTCTTGATGGTGGGTCCGTAACCGACGATCTCGACTTCAGCACCCTTCTTCAAAGTACCACGCTCGACACGGCCAGTGGTGACGGTACCACGTCCAGAGATGGAGAAGATATCCTCAACGGGCATGAGGAAGGGCTTGTCGAGATCACGGGGGGGCTCGGGGATGTGCTCGTCAATGGCGTCCATAAGCTTAGCGATAGCCTGCTCACCAATCTCGGGGTCACGACCCTCGAGGGCAGCCAAGGCGGAACCGAAGATAATGGGAGTACCCTCACCATCAAAACCGTAAGAAGTCAAAAGATCACGCATTTCCATCTCGACGAGCTCGAACATGTCCTTGTCATCGACAGCATCGACTTTGTTGATGAAGACGACGAGGTGCTGGATACCGACCTGCTTGGCGAGAAGCAAGTGTTCACGAGTCTGGGGCATTTGACCATCGGTAGCAGAGACGACAATGATAGCACCGTCCATTTGGGCGGCACCAGTAATCATGTTCTTAATGTAATCGGCGTGACCGGGACAGTCGACGTGGGCATAGTGACGCTTGTCGGTCTGATACTCGACGTGAGCAGTGGAAATGGTGATACCACGAGCCTTCTCCTCAGGAGCCTTGTCGATCTGGTTGTAGTCGAGGAAAGCAGCCTGACCCTTAGCAGCGAGGGTCTTTGTGATGGCAGCGGTAAGAGTGGTCTTACCGTGGTCGACGTGTCCAATGGTACCGATGTTCAAGTGGGGCTTGGAACGGTCGAAGGTAGCCATGGAACGGGACAAGATCCTCGAGGGCTGAGCGCGGGAGCAGCCAGCAAAGGCATTGACAGCGGGTGCAACGACCTTCGAGGCACCGAAAACTCGGGCCGCCAAGGGCTTGATGAACGACATCTTTGTTGATGAGATGCTGGTGGCGGGAGCGTTCGGCGTAGGAGACGTCGACATTTTCGATGCAGCTCCCCGGAAATTCCCGTTTGCAGCTTCGGGCGTGGATACATGGAATCAACGTATGTTAACTACACTGGAGAGACAGCTTTACTGCCCTGGATCAATCGGTAATCCTGTAATGTAGACAGGGTTCATCTCATCATGCAAGGCGCGCTCGCTCGAGCGTACGGCGTATGATACGCCTACAAGCCTCCAAGGCAGCGCTCAGGCCAGCTTTCGCCAACGACAGCGGCACCATTAAGCTGGCGAATTGCCATTGCGGTTACATTGGAAATAGTATCTGAGCCGCTGGACGTCTCAGTAACCCATTCACTCGTTATTCTCACAGCGCAATCGCAGCTGCAGTCATGGGTCCAAGACCGGAGGTGATCCGAGCAGGTATGACCATCATCCGGCTTCGTCGCAGCTGTGAGCAGTGATGCTGACTGGGAATACAGATACCCTCGACCTCCAAGACCGTCGACACCCAAGCGCATCCGCCGCATCCTCCCGCCGTCCCCCAGATTTCGGCGACAGTTCTTACCAACCCCACCAACAATCCGCTCTCAGCGACTTCGCCCGCTCAACCCCCTCTCCCTCCCATGGACATAATGTCACCACCGCTTTTGACGACGATGACAACGACAACGATGACAGCGACGACGCTGGCGCCCTCTCCTCCTCGCCCTCCATCCCCGACTCCGACATCGACTTCGACTACATGTACGCCCTCCACACCTTCCTCCCTACCGTCGAAGGGCAAGCACATTCCCAGAAAGGCGATGTTCTCGTTTTACTGGATGACTCGAACTCGTATTGGTGGTTGGTTAGGGTCGTGAGGGATGGGAGTGTGGGGTATTTACCGGCTGAGCATGTCGAGACACCCGGAGAGCGGTTGGCGAGGTTGAATAAGTATCGTAACGTCGATGTGGGGAAGGGGAGGCTGGAGGATCATCCGATAACTACAGGGGCGAAGGGTCCGTTTAGAAGTTTTTCGAGGAAGGTTCGAAGGGCGACGAGTGGGAAGAAGTCACGGAAGGTTGAGTTTGGGCCGGTGAAGTATGTGCAGCATCCGGGATGGAATTCGGAGTGGGGTGAGCCGAGTTCAGATGAGGAATCGGAGGATGAGGATCAGATAGCTGAGGAGCAGGTGAGGGAACAGATGCAGACCGTAACGGATACTGTGAAGGCGACACCAATAAACGGCGCCGAACCACCGCGGACATCGACCCTCTTCCGAGATGTCGACACTGCAGAGACGCAACTGGAGACTGTCAAACTCTCACTTACGCCAAAAATTGCGTCTGATTCCACTATTTTTGGAAACAGTCCTGGTGAGGTGCGAGAAGGAGAGGGGTACGGAGAGCCGGCACGGAAGAGGAGTAATTCCAGTTCGTTAAGATCTGAGTTTGACGGTGAAAAGAAGGACAAGGACGAGAAGAAGGGCGTGTTTGGAGGGTTGTTTAAGAAGAGGAGTGGGGGTAGGAAGGGACCTGGATCTGGGTTGAGGGAGGGTACACCTGATAACGACGAGGGGGAAACTGCAGAGGTGAGGGAGTCTAGGGAGGTGATGGGAGACCTGGAGCGTGGAGTGACGAGAACAGTGCAGGCGGTGAATACGGAAGGGGCGGTGGATAACCCGCGGTTCGGAGACAGACCGGTGCAGATGCGACTATACTCCCACGCACCAACCCTCAACGAACCGGCCTACGACCCTCCCGCACCACACCAATCTCAACATCAACACCCACTCGCCCCACCCCGCGACCCAACCCCACCACCCAGCGCCCACGGCCAATTCTCTCCCGTTTTGAAAAGCAATAGACTCTCAAGAACGGTCTCACCGCCGCCTCCACCCAAGATTCGATGGACAGATGAGTTTGTGAGGAAGTGGTTTGAGGATGATGCGGAGTTTGTGGAGTTGGTTACGATTGTAAATGGATCGGCGCGGCTCTCTTCCACCAACACCCCAACTCCTGCTCTGTCTAGAATAGAAAGGGAGCTTAAGGAGGAGCTGGGAGAGGTGTGGAAGCCGGTTGAAGATAGACTGGGGAAGATTCAAAGCGAGTTGGATAAGATACTGGAGAGTGTTTTACCGGGGGCTTGGGAGGGGAGGGTGTTGCCGACGCCGGCGGTGGGTGCGAAGACGGAGAAAAGGGCGGAGGTTGCCTGAAGTGGTGGTGCGTGATGTGAGGAACCATTTCATATGTGGAGGAAGGAAAACACAGCCACTCCGCTGGACGAAGTGTGCGGTAGAACAATATCTATGGAGTTTTGTTGGCTTTGGATTGAGCATCAATAAGCTTAAGCGGGACGCATAGTGAGATGCTGGAATGGATATCTACAACAATCTTTTATCCCTGTTCGTCCCTTATATGTGCGTGGCAAGTTTGTTTGCGGATACCTTATAATATCTGACTACATATCAGCATCAGAATGATCGCGGTTTCTGACTTTGAAACCCGACGGACTTGAAGAGTTTAGTGTTATAACACACACTCCAAGGGGGATACTATCAGAACCTTCCTCGATGTTGTTCATCATCACCTGCGTAGAGGGTCTTCCTCTGGTAATCAGCCTCATGAACGTAGACACCAGCCTTCCTTCCAGAGAACCTTCCCACGCCTCAAAGTTGCCATACGCAAAACCAAACGAGAAACCCCCAGATTGTCCTCATAATAACCAGAAGAAATCTTCCCGTTGAAACAGTAGTATGTGTTAATGATTGCCTCAGCATAGACTGCACTTGTAGTCAAAATGAAAGTAAGTGTCCAAAGATACTAAGTAAAAAGTCAATATACGCCATTCACGCCGTCCAATATGCCAAAAGAACGCCCTTCACCCTTCTCCTCTTGCCTTCCATCTCTGTCGCGGTTTCTGTGTAAGCCTTCACTTCGCTTCTTGAAGATCATTCAGGGCAGCCCGCCTATCCCTGGCCTCAATCCCCGCCTTGAAGCTCGCCAACCACCGAATCAACAACTCCTCACTCGGAACACCAAACCTCCACGCTTTCTCACTCGTAATGACACACAACCAATACATCCCTCTCCCTCCCTTCCCCTCTTCGCGGCGGCGTTTTGAACCCTCATACTCCACCGCATCGTGAATCTCGTGCAGAGGGATGATACGCAGCGCTTTGTATTCCTCATCATCTTTGTAGATGGCGAGAGAGGAACCACGGAGTACGACCCAGCGCTTCGGATGCGATTTGGGCAGGCCGGGGAGGTGGGGGCCGGTTTTGTGGACGGCGACGTAGCCTTGCATGAGTAACTTGTTGTTCTCTTCTTCTTCACTTGTTGTGAGGCGGCGTTCACGTTTGATCGTTGCCAAGTTTTCTGTTGAGTGTGACGGATCGCCCGTGGGGTGGATGGGGGTGGCCATGGGTTCGTTGTCGGTGTCGGGGGAGATGTAGCCGTGGTTTGAGTTCGGCGAGGATCCGAGGGAGTGAATGGATGATGCGGTCGTGTTTGACATATACCCTCCGCTTTGATGCGAATGCGGCAAGTCCCGATTTTCCTCCGCATACACTCCTGGTGTGATCGTGGAAGGTGCCGTGAAAGTGTCACTCTCGACCAGTCCCGAGACAGTACTCCCATTCCTACCTCGCTGCCCCATAACCATACTCTCCCCATCCTCTTGCACTCCAGCCCTCTGCGCCCGTGTCGCGGCGTACCTAATCGCGTCAACCCACTCCTCAACCCCTGCGCTCTCCTCACTCGGAACCTGCAAATAATAAATCCTCTCCACCGTAAACACCGCAAGTACTCCCTCCCTCTTGCCCTTCTTATCATTCATCGGCGCCACGGCATCAATATCGTCCGTGGGGATGATATGTAGCGTTTTGTATTCGGATGAGTCGTGGTAATACGTCAAGGCTTGTGGGCGGAGGACGAACCAGCGGCGTTGCCAGGAAGAGGATAGGGAGGGGAGGTGGGATTTGTGAGATTTTTTGTAGAGGTAGCCGGTTTTGATGAGGGATTCGTCGGCGAGGGTGGGCGCGGGGGGTTGTATGGTCATGCTTGTTGGTGGTGACATCGATTATCGAACCGGAATGGAGACGAAAGATGACAGGAGCTGATGGTCGTTGGGTTCTGAGATGACTTCAGAACCCTTTTGGAGGAAATCCACGAGATTATATGCCACTTGAGCTCGATGGACCCCTTGTTGATACTCCCCGTGCAACTGCCGCTTTAGGAAATTCCGGAACCAGTCACTTCTGGTGTAATGACGTCTGAACAGGACCGGTCCTGGAGTTGTGCGACCCAGACTTCCTGATGGAGAATGTCCTTCTTCGGCTACTATGGCGCTTCAGGAGACAGCCTGTAGATTTGTGTTGTCCTCGACCGTCGTGAATGCGCTGTATAGAGAGGCCCTTTGTTTGCCCACGTTTGGTCGTGGACTCCTGAAATCGCAATCGGACAAGAGGATGGCAACTCGGGCACTCTTACACTCTATAAAGAACAGGAAATCTGTCTCTGTCGTTTGATCAGCGCTTCGCTTGGCACTGACGTCGACGTCGACGTAACGTTGGCTTTGTTTCAAGCGGGAGGCGACCGTCACTGAACTTCCTAACAAGCTCTATGTTGTTGAAACTTATGCTCCTTGCTGCTGAATGAACACAAACAGTGCGTTTCGTCTTGTGTCTCGTCCGTCCCTAACCTTGTTGATGGTGTTGATGTCTTCCTTCCCCCCATCTGCATCCCCCTCTCATACGACGTCACCCCAGATTTTTAAAGGTGCACTTTCTCGAACTCACCACCAACCTTGGAACACGACGCAGGTTGGCGATCTGCAAATATACCTGTACACACACACCACCAAAAGGATGTTCTTGATTCTTCTTCTTCTCACAGCTTCTTCTTCTTCTTCCCGTTCCCATTCTTCCCGTTCCCATTCTTCTTCTATCAGACGGATCCTAACGCCAGCGATCCGTTCACCACTTATATCAGGCTCAGCAGGTTCTCGACGTGGAATCATCAGCCTTCACGAAGTACAAAAGTCGCACGCGACGAGACAGCCCTGAAAGCAAACACCGTACGTGACGCCAACATCCAGGCAAAATCCATCAACTTTGTCGGTCCCAACGGTGAATTCAAAGCCAAAGACCCCTCTCCTACATCCTCGGCAATTACTATACCACCCAGTACACACTATTCAATCTCACACCCTTGGCAGATGTTCCGACGTGCAAACTCCTCACCCATGCCGAATTCGAAGCCAAGAACGCTGAATTGAACAAGGAGAAGAAAAATAAGGAAGCCACAGCAACACGGTGGACAAAATCTGCCGACGTGATGTGGTACGTGCAGAAAGCCTAAAAATGGCTGCAGGACGGAAGCACAGTGGAATTTAGAATCAAACCCTCAACGCGCAGCCTCAGCAGAAGGCGAGGCTGCTCAATCCTCCGCTGATGGCAAATCAGCAACATCTGCCCCCGCAACTCAACAGCCTGCAGCCAAGGAGGCAGAGTTCAAAGGTCCTAAACCTGAAAAAACCTCCTACCAATTCCGCAAAGGCAAGCGTTCAGCCGAAGAAGCTGAACGTCGTGCTGCAGAGGAGGGGAAAATGCGGATTGAGAGGGAGCAGATGGAGGGAAGGATCACTCGTTTGGGTGGGGTAGTGGGATTGGGGGGAACTTGGGTGGTGGTGGATGGAGTGGAGGTAACGCAGGATTTGAGAGGGGTGGGACCAGGGGGGGTGAAGGTGGGAAGTGGCTTTTCGTGGTGATTGGGATTCATATGGGAGTTTAGGGGTACCAAAAGTTAATCTTCATATTTCAGAGACACCAAAAATTGAACACTACATACCTCCGCTTATCTTCAAACTCAATTCCTCGCCCTTTTCACATCCCATGGTATCGTGAGGGTCTTGCAGGCTGTGCTATCAGTCTCTTTGGCGCTGGAGACACGATTAAAGTCTATTGCTGTTGACCACCGGAGTGTGTGAATATTTGGAGGTTGTTTACGTGATGCACGAGCCTGTGTATGTGAGGTTCTGCCGGTATACGTACGGTAGCACCTTCACCGTCTTTCAGTTAATGAGATGCGTCAAAACTCGTCTAAAAATAACTTTCAATTTGCCTCGCCGTTCCGCAGCTCTTCTAATGCCATCTTGCCAACCACCCATTCCTTCCCTTGCCAAGCATAATGACTTCAACCCTCCCTGGACTATTTGAGGCTGAGCCGAGAACCCCGCCACGCAATCGCGAACCGATCGAGCAACAACACCACACAAACACACCACAAACCTTTCGATCTCTGATCAGTCAGCTCTCTGTTCAACAACATGTCTAACCAGGGCTACGTATGTCTCCCTCCATCTGCGCACCTTACTCCTCCTCCTGCCCTTCTTCACTGGACAGGACACGCAGGCCGCATACACCCCCTACTCTCGAACACTTACTAACGTCTCGCTCATAGTACGGCAACCAACCCCAATACCCCCAACAATCCTACTACCCCCCTCAACAAGGCGGCGGCTACCCACCCCAGGGCTACCCCCCTCAAGGCCAATACCCTCCTCAAATGCAATACCAGCAACAGCCTCAGCCCGTGTATGTCCAGCAGCAATCTGCGGGTGCGGGTGGAGGCGCGGCGACCGGGTGTTTGGCATGTTGTAGTGCCTTGTTGTGTTGTTGTGCATTGGATGAGTGTTTGTTCTAAGCTGTCGAGTGTGCGGCTTAGGGAGGCATTCGGGTTTAGAGTGGGATAAGGTAATATGGGGGTTTGGAGGGAATGGAGGAGAAAGAGTGGTCATGGTGTTGATTAGCAAGCGCGTCACGGAATGGGAAAGGCGATGTCAGTTTGACATAATGCGTCCGAGCGTCCGGAGTTTCTTTCTGTTACTGGGTTTTCTGTTTTCTGTTATGTCTACGGCATACGCATGCGATTGCGTGTGCGTGAATGAAAGACTGTATTGGTTTTGAGTTGAATGTTGATTCTCTTCATCTACCTCTATGCTCAGTGCGACATACCTTCCTTCCTCCGTGCACGCATCTGCTGTTGCAAGCAGATCCAAGAGCATGCATGTTACGGTAAACTCATCCACGCAAATCCTTCAATGATTTGAGTCACCCATGTGCATCGTAATCGGCAGGGAAGATGAGCGGCTGGGTCGTTCGCGATCTTCGTCTACGAACGTGTACGTACCGTATAGGGCCGGCTTGTCAAGGCCCGAACAACGTGGATAAATGTGGACATTGTACCCGACGGTCCGTGAAAGGGCACCATGAAAACTACGGATGGAACGAGAACGAAAACAAAACTAAGAAATCTACAAGCTCACAACAGCATACAGCATACAGCCCGTTCAATCTCAGCTCCTCAACACGCTCGTCCCGAGGAACGAACACATCAATGAGGAAAAACCAACACGGACGCCTCCCCCTCAGGAAGAGATGATGATTCCAAAAAGTGTGATAACTGCCTTGTTCAAGCGCATTTCCTGCTCGTTCTGGTAAAAGGCAAGAGCGAGGTTCATGAAAGACACTTGGGCAGCGATGGGGCTCCTCTTCGGGGTCGGGGGGACGGGGACTATTTATAGCTGAAGTGAGGACTGATGAGGTTGCGGTGTTGATATTAGCGTCAGCGCGAGCAGCGGCGTGGGAAGGGCCGAAGCAAGGGGCAGAGTCGATTGGTATGAGATCAATGGAGAGGATGGACGTACCGGGACCGAGGCAATTCGGAGAGAGAAAGAAAGGGAACCGAGTTTGTCGTCAGCCGCGCTTGCCAAGTCTCACGATCGACGGCAGGCAAGGTAAGCCGGCCTCCCGACCGCATCACGCTCCAGAACCTTCTTCTCCCTTTTCCTCCGCGCCTTGTTGTCAAGCCCACCTTCGCATGATCATCATATCGGCGGCACACCCGCAGAATCTGCAAGAATGAGCCTCATACACGACAAATCTTATTGAAATTATGTTGAACCGCGGCCCGTCTCATCACTATGTAGTTGTAGCCCTTCTCCTTCCCCAACCAGCCCTCACGAGAGTCCTCTTATGCGCATGCATACGACCTTACCCACAGAGTCTCATCCATTTCTATTTTACCGCGCTACCCGTACCAAATCCAGCGGACAAAACGCCCACGCCAGACCGGGCGCCGCAATCGGTATATCCCCAAAAACACGTTTTCGTTTAATTTGACGGTTGGAATGTTTGGGTTTCGCAATCTTTTCGCGCGGCGGAAGGTGGTGGGATGCTGGCATCCGTTGGTTCGCCTTGCCGAGCTGTTTCATGGAGTCCGCAGGGCTTTTTCGAAATGAATCACGTCGATGTGTCTATTGACCTCGATCGCCAGCCAGCACTTGAGGCCAGACTGGGCCATGCAAAACCTCCTAGCCCCAGGCCATGGCCAACGTATTTCGGCTCCGACAGTTTCTCTAGACGTCGTAAGGACTAGAGAGGCTTGAAGGACCTATGAAGCCCGCGCCCGCGCCCGCGCTCAGCTCGCACCGCAAAAACCTCGAACCACGTGGCGGAGCGCACGCGACAGCACAATCGAAACCCGTACGTACGAGGTGCGAGGCGTGACTACTATCTTTATCCGGTTGGGGAACAGCGATGATTAGTCGCTGATCGTAAGAGGGATTGCCCGTCTTGGTATCTGTGTGAGCAGAGTGTCGATGTAATGCGATTACGCGTCTCCAAACTCAAACTCACCGGACCGGACCATCTCGTAATCCATACGTGTAACCTCCATCAACCTCCGTCCCGAACCAAAGACGGTCGGAGCTGACATCGACATCATCCCTCCTCCGCACCGACATCGAAGTGTCGGCACCGGCACACCCATGGCCACACCGTGCCGATGACCATACGGCCGCTTGCCGGTTATAGCTATTCGACGCGCCGATCCCCAACTGCCTTGAACTCGCACGCGTCGCGTCTGTGATGAGCAGATTGCAAGATTTGATACAGGATATTCGTGGAGACAGGAGCTGGTCGTTGAAATCAAAATATCATATTGTGGTCTAGCTGTGGTACTGGCTGTTTAGCCGTATAGCTAGGTTTAATACCTCAGTCGATGATCGATGATCGTATCGAACGATGCTATCATATCGTAATGTTCGGGTATGCTTCAAGCAACAAAAGCAAAGCAAGTGTGTATAGCCGTAGCAATCAAACGCCGTTCCCTTAGCCAATCCCTGGCCTGTTGCAAAGCGAAAACCACAAAGAAAAACTCCAAGATCCTCCAAAAACTGAAGAACGCCCATATCCATACCGCGAATAAATAATCAAAAACGAAGGAGATGCGCCTTCGTTTGCATTCTCTCACCACCCATTGGGACTCTGCCCCACACAGCCCTCGTAATCCCATTGCCACACCCACGCAGGACCGGTCCTTCCCGGCGTGCCGCCAAACCCTCCATCACCCCTAACAATCCCTTCCCTCACCTCATTCGCGTGCCCAAGCGTATGGTAGTAGAGGTTCAAGTTTTCCTGCCCGTCTCCGATAATCGGCTGAGCCGGCCCAACCAATGTGCGCATAGGCCTCATCGGAGCATACGGGCTCGACCTCGACACAAACTGTCCATAGGTAGGAGAGAGCGTGTTAGGTGTCGACTGCCCAGACCCCGTTGTACCCCAGCCAGAAGGCGAGAGTTGCGGGGTGCCGCCCAATGTGGAGGAGTAGGACGGACTTGCAACCATACCAGCCGGGCTCACTCCAGCAGAGGGGAGACTGAGGAGTTGTACGGCCTGTGGAACAGGCATCCTCAACATCGGAAGAGGTAGCAAGCTCGCTCTCAGAGGCTGCACTTGTGCTTGTTGGTATTGAGGGACAGGAAGCAAATACTCCGCGCTCGTCATACTCGGAAGCTGTGGTGCGAAGGTCGTCTGTCTTGGAGCAAAAACAATATCCTGCACCTGCTGCTGCTGCTGCTGCTGCTGCTGCTGTTGTTGCAACTGCTGTGGTTGAGGTTGCAACTGAACCGGTGGCTGCACAGGATTCGGCGGAATTGGTCTGAAGATAGCATCCACAGCATCCCCATACCCCGTCACCGCCTTCTTCGGTGGCGGAAGCATGACAAAGTCTTCCTCAAACACGTCCGCGGTCCTCTTCGCGCTCGCCTTGCCGCTGCCAGAACCATTAGTGCCCATGCCAGACCAGGTTGCCGTTGGGTGTGTGAACGGACTTGTTGGGCTGAGTGCAGTCGTGACGGGCGGTGAGGGAAGCAATGCCTTTGACGCCGCAGTCTGACAATGCAATTGACGAAGCGATCCCTCCCTAAACGCCTGAAATCTCTTGAGGGTATACTGCCACTCCCTCCACTCATCAGCCTTAACGAAAAGCTCGTACCGACAGTTCGAGATGAACTCAATCTCCATGACAGAAACTTCGTTGACGGGGATACCCGCCACGTCGGACCAAGTCTTGTTGGTGTAGGTATTGTCGTCGAGGTACTTGTTGCCCAGGATAAGAGCGACAGTAAGAAGTCGATACTCTGACTCTGGCTTGCCGCGGACGAGGGGTGATGAACGCTTGAGGCGGTAGAGGTAGTAAAGAGCGAGGAGGACCACGGCGCGTGAGATTTGTGTGGTGTTCAAGACAGACTGAGTCCATTGCACGAAGCTGGCATGGCACTCCAATGCTGCAGACGTTGGCGGGATGTGGATTGGTGAGCCGGGGGTGTATGTACTTGCGGCCTTGAGCGTTTGTGGTGAGGAGAACCAGATAAAGGCGGACATCTACCAACACAGTCAGTACACAAGTTCCAGGTATGTATGCGCTCCAGACAAGTCTGGGAACAACGTTTAGGGGGTAAATGCCCACCTGAGCAGCAAACTCTCCCATCTTCGCGTCCGCTTTCCGCGGTACAGTCTCAAACCTGACCTCATCGCCAGATCCAAACGCAGTCCCAACAATCGAACTCAGCGGAGGCAGTCGTGATTGCCGCATCTCCTCCTGGTCCGGCATGTCGTACGGTGGTGTCGACAGTCCCAGCGGAGGTCGTGAGGTTGCAGCAGTTGTAGTAGGTTGGTAATCGTATCGTGTAGTGGTATAAGACGTGCGTGTAGTGTTCAGGAAAGAGGACGACGGCGTGTACTCCTCCCCTCCAGGCTTGAACGGCAGCATACTGACTCTCTTCCTTTCATGACGGTCGGGGGGATGCCGGGAGTATATGCTCTTTCGCTCCTTCCTATTCCCCCGTGTTGAGTAGACCCGGGTTTCGTAAGGTTCGCAAAGCGGGCGTATGATGCTTGGGTACCCAAATCGGGATTAGTGTGCCGGAGTGCCCAAATGAAAAATGCTAAAGTGCCCAAGTGTAGATTTTGTCGCAGAACGGAGAAAGGGCGTGAAATTGGTGATGATGGGGAACTTGGCAGTTGCATAATAAAATAAGGGTGGGAAGGAGGCAAAGGCAACGCGTAATTGCAAAGCCCGGGTGCCGGTGTCCGATGAGTGATGGATCTCCTGCTACTCTTCATTTTACAGATCTAACCAAAGCAAGGAGGGCATCCCCAACCGGTGTCATCAGCGCATAGTCATAGCCAATCCCATGCCGCTCATCACCATCATATCCCATATTCTATTTGCCAGGCCGCGCGGGCCTTCCTCCTTCCCCTCCCCGCTCCCGCCTCCTTTCCGTAGCCATCACAAAGGATGATCTCGGATATTGATCTTACATCTTACACTGGATGTTTCGTCTCATTCCCCTACAGGTACTATACCTCGTGCTCTTGGGCTTCATGGCCACGTCGTCGTTCTCAACTGGTTGACGGCCGCTGCCGCAGCGCATATCGACAGATGTCGTTTGACGCGCGCGCAACCGCGGGGGGGACGATTCCATGGACCAGCATCCAACTGTCTCAAATTCGGACTTGCTTTGTGGCCGTAAGGACCGAAGCCCCATGGCCCCATCATTTACGATTTTGTTTACGTTTCATTTGCTACTTGCCATTTTCCGACGCCCATGGTTGACGTAGACCTGGGACCAATCCCCTTTCCCCCAAATGTACGTGCTTGGCGCTAACATACCTCGAACGAACGCAAGTGCAAGTGCAAGTCTTCGGGTGCTTGGTTTGCAGCTGCGCCAGGGAGAGGAAAAAAGCCCATCATAGCTTCAGTGCTCATCTCTGCGCGACGCAGACCAAACCGGACGCTATGGTCAGGGCAAGGCAAAATACCGTCAAGGAACCTTTGGGATTCGAGCATACGTTGTTTGCGCGTTGCGTGGCCCTAGATACAGGTCCGGGATCGGCTCGGAGTATACTCTGATAGGCTCTGGTAAATAATGCCTCCAATTCAACCAAATGGAATGGAACTTCGATGTTCGTAGAATCTACTGTATTCGTAACACCCAACACGAACGTCAGGATAAAGCGGACGTGAACTAGGGAAGGGAAGCGTGCCGATGTAGGAGCTCTGCCACTCATCTTGCGGCGCCGTACTGGGTGTTCTGAGATTACCTGTCTAAACGTGACTGACATCTTCTCAGCCGTGTGTCGTGTATCATCCCATGCACTGTGACGGGCGACCCGTCCGTTCGTGCCGGGTGCGGCCAGGTCTGCGGGTGAGGATTGGGCGCTGATCTTTGGGCGAGACACCCATCTGAGCCAGTTCGCGATCGTGTTACAGAAGGGGAAGCACGAGTCGCGGTCCTTGTCATGATCGAGCCAGATGCGGCCACGTATGAGGAGAGTAAACGAGACGTCGGTCTGGGATGCATATCCGCGCGCGCAACAAACACACTGATCCCAGGCAGGAGATGTGAAGCGCGTAAAACGTACTGTAGCCTACGGATACGGACACGGATATATTAAAACCTGCATTTAGACTCGCTCCCGTTCTCCAAAGGCCAGCTGTTCGTCATGGAGACTCATCCCCCTTGAAGCTTCACCACCGCCTTCGCCATCGCCATCTCCACCTCTTTGATCTCGGCCCGGGCCGGTCTCGCTCCCATACTCCACTCCTCCTCCATCTCTTCCTTCCAGTCACCTTTCGCATGTCAAAGCGGCTACGTGGCGTCGAGTCCGAAAGGCGCAGCGCGATCGGCCCAGCTCCTTCCACATTCGGGCTAGACGCTGAGATCCAAGATGTTAAGTTCCGCATTCCACGTGCGAGCCGAAGCGCCAGGCAGTCGGTTAAAGGAGAAGCAGGAGAAGCACTCGTAAGGCACGAGTGAGGAGGGGTAATATGATTGCTGCATCCGGTAAGCTTCACTCTAGACCTGGGTAACTTGGTTTAAGGGTGAGGATGAGCAAGAAAGGTACGACGAGAAAGACGGCTGCGGAGGACTTAGAAAGCTGACATAAGCATGCCGCATCTTGGTATTGGCGATGGCCATGGCGACGGGCGATGGTGACGTGAGCGCTGGTGGTCGGGCTTGGCATTCGCATTCCTTCTCCTTCCATATGACTCTCGTGACGTTTCCATACCCATAGCCCTGCCGCATATACCCGTATGACGGGTCCAAATAGCTATCGCATCACGCGGGTCAGGTCACTGAGCCGTATTATTCTGAAACGTCTACACAATCTTCTATCTTCATGTAACTTCCTTATGATATGTGTGGTACGTGTAAGTGGTGGAGGCCATGATGTTGACCGTACGCGTGGTGGAGATGGAGAGTTGGATGGGAGCCATGGGAATGTTCATTTGCGCCGCGCCCCAAGGAGATACAAATTGCCTCTTTCAGGCGGCTCGGGATCTTTATTTCGCGTTCAAGAAGAAAGTACTTTCAAGATTTTTTGTGTGGAACAGCGTTATACACACGACGGCTCGGTCCTTCTCCCCAACGGATGGAACTGCTCATGGCGATGAGGGCCTCCTTATCTCTGCGGTGACACGTAGTATGAAGAGAACATTATCCCAAACCAGACCTTTAGTACGTCTACTGATAATCAAATCAATACCTCTGCCCAGCCCGTGACGCTACCCTACCATGGGAAATGAACCCCTGGATCAGCCACGCGTCCAGCACTTAACGGTCGCTTCTTGGGCATGGTACCATGAAGGCCTAGGGATCGACTGTCCTCGAGGAGCTCCGCGGACTGCACCGGAAAAGGTTTGGTTTCCTCGGGGGGTTCAGGGGGTCGGTATGATGTGATTGCTTTGCGGAGGAGGGTTGGTTAGTGTTGGTGTTGGTGTTGGTGTAGATGATCGTGCCGGAACCTCGGTAAAGTTTGGGATCTACGTGGGCGAGGTGTAGGAGAAAAGGGAAGATAGCACATCGCGTGCGGAGGGTTCATGTGTGGCCGGGCCTTTCTTTGAGCCGGGTCAGGTCGTGTATATGCTGAGGAGTCTTGCGTAGTCGTTGTCCAAGGTACACGTAGGAGCATATCGTAGCATGCCAGAACTGTAGCTGTTGACGATCGCGATGAGTCGACATCGAACCCTATGCACATGCGTTCGCATGCGTCCCGAGCCCTTTCGACCTCATGAATGCTGACTATCAGGCTCCCTTTTGACAAGCAACCTTACGCTGTACATCCAGAGGTTCGGATCACATTCACGCCATAGCCAATAATGTGGTGCTAATGATGGCAAGGTATCGTTTCGCCGGCATCAGCCAAACAATAAGGTTCACGGCACACCCGGCTCTTACTTCTCCCACGCAGAATTCGTCTCATTACGCAACAGCTGACAGTTCTACGAGATCACGTAACCTCTCTCATCTTCTTTGACTTTCTCTCCTCCTCGCCTTCGAAGGTTAAGGTTAAACCAATCTTGGCAGCCGGTCCGGTCCGATACCGCGGTCCGTGGCCTTCGCCCTTTGGATCGGAAGATGAACTGTTACGGTGAGAAGTGTGCAGAGAACGGGGTGTTTCCGACCGTGTGCTCCGACACTCTAAGAATTTCGAGAAGGAACCTTATCCGAAGCTGGGGCCCGCGATCGGTTATCGGACGATGGCATTGGGGTGTTTGGTTTCGTAAACGAGATTAGAGGTGCTGTACCTTGCACTTGATGACCGTAGCAGAGCCTTGATCCGGAGGAAGCTCCCACGGCTCTCACCCCGCGCGTAGCACGACTATTAATAGCACATCCCCCTGCGCCGTTTGTTTAGTGGTGCTCGTGGCGCATGCACTCCTCGCGGACCACTGCATAACAAACGCCTTAACCTGAGCGCCTGAAAAACCTGGACGACAAGTATCGCCGGAAGAACGCGTCAAACAGCTCAAGGCCAGCGTATCACGGTTCTCCTTTCGTTTTCGTTTGATCAACGATTCAGGTCTCTCGGTCTTTCTACACGGCTAGCGGGTTCTTCGCCGTATCTTTCTTTTGGGTTTCGTGAGGTGCCTCGAGTGCTACGGGTATACGCTTGAAGGGAACGAATTGAGAGGAGAAGGATAGCATATATAAGGATTATTCAGGATGGGTTTCGGTGATTTCACTGAGATTTGTGAGAGGGCACAGTTGCCGCTGTGTTCGTTGGTGGGTGGATCACAAGGATTGGAGGCTACGTGTTATGCGAGAAATATCGAGTTGGCGAACACCATGATCTTCCAAGTCGGTACGTCTCATCTATGCCAGCATACATCTGGGCTTTACTGATCTGATGTGCTTTTAGCTACCGATTTCG